TCTTGAATTAAATACAGATATGCGAAATCGTTGATTTTGTATGGGAAATGGGTGGCCCCCACTAGGGTGGCCCCAGTAAGGGTGGTTTGACTTATAAGTCAACTTCTAAGCAGTTCGGAACTGGTCCTGTTGGGTGCAGTCGATATGGCTTTAACTCACGATTTCATGGAACTGCCTAGACTTCGACATTAACTACCTCCTAGGCATGCTGCTATTATATCTTGTACGTACCTACTTATGGACACTTTCCTAATACCAAAATTATTATTTAGGCTCTGCTAAAACTGCCATATTATACACTAAATCCTTTCGCCTTCATCAAACTAGCTCCATCACAACTCTTCACAAATCCAAAAAATGACCGCCATTCTCACCGTTAGAGACTTGATAGGCCCTACGCGTCATAGAGTCAAAACGCCCTTTACAAGCCCTATAGACATAGGCTCAAGGCAATGGCTAAAGACACCTTCTGCATTCTATATTACAATCCAGTTCTGAAGGTTATATACGATGAGGATGAAGAGGATGGTGCACCTTGTCTTCTTATGATCTTCAAAAATGAGTTTGCTTTGTCCCTTGATGCAGAATTATCGTTTCTAAAATCGCAAATTAGAATGCATCGGCATCTTGGTTACTTCCGCATTGATGCGACAGCGCCTGTGGGAAGAAACCTAAGGGGAGTCTTTGTGGAGCGTGATACCCGATATCAAGGCACGCCACCGGAAGCTTCGAGTTAACCGGAAGAGTCAGAAGAGTCGGAATAAGAGGCAAATTAGAAGCCGTACATTGTTAGTAGATTGGAGAGAGAGGGGAGGTCTTTTCTCGTTTGTGGGTTGTTTTCTTTGCTGTTCGTCACGAAGCTTTAGCAAGGACTACGATAGACTACGTGCATAAGGTACCCAGCTTAGTATTGATATTCAGTCCTTGATCAGACACTCTCGATTTATAAATTTTGAGTTTCCCCTTTATCAAATTCTTAGGCCACCAAAATCCCCAAAACACAAAGCTTCCAGCTCAAAAGCGCTATATTCTCAAGTGTTTCTCATATATTCATACACCCCCCGTCATATGAGAGATAATTTGTTCAGTTGTGCTTTAGTTGGCCCTATTTGATGACCAGCACACTTAAGCCTTAATATACGTCTGGTTGAAATGAGGTATTTATATGAGCGGATGTGAAGCCTTCACATATCTCCTTGTCATCTACTCTCGACTATACTATATTATATATGATTATTAGTTAATCTTGTTCATTCGTTTTAATTCCATCGCTTATGCCTTGAATCGCATTTGCTAAGTGCGTGGATAAGTGAATTCTGGCACGACTTTATCCAGCTGTCGACGATTTCCTTGGGTTGGGTTGGGTCAATTTCACTTTGTCATAATGGTGCCTGACATACCTATGATTCAGGTCCAGTTTTACATACAAACTCACGAAAAGCTGCATGATCTGTCTTACTACTCTCTCCGACAAGAGATGAATGGGGCGCTTCGTGATTCTCATTTAGCATGCGTCACGAGATATGCCCCTCGTCGGTTTAAAGAAGATTGTTACTTATTTACAATAACTATCCAAGGTCTGTTTCCTTTCGCGAGGTCCATTTTGGGGGCCGTAAACTATTTAATGCTGAACCTGTATATGCCCGTTGTCATATTAACTGCACCACCCTCACTCTATGGTACCACGCCAAGCCCGAAATAGCATCCCCCGCCGCAATGCCTTTCTCGCTGAAGAATATCTTTTACACACCACAGAGGCTCAAAGCTGAACAACATGTCAAGCGTGGCTTCGGTATACACTCGAGTCTTGTAAAGGAAGTGGCGTATGACGAGGATAAGGACGACAAGACGCCATGTCTTCTCGTTATCTTCTGGTCCTCTCGAGCCCTTTCTCTATTCGGAGAATTGGAGCAGGCAAAGCACAACATTGAGAAGGACTTTTGGGGTGGACTTGACCATTTCCGTATCGATAGTAAGCAACACTTTTGACCCCTATATCCTACTCGAGGCACCCTAATTAAATTTTGTTTCTTCTGCCGGATTAACTATAGGGTTATAAGAGAGGCGTGATCACTAATACGGGATATTACAGTTGTAGCGCATAGCAATATGGAATCGCGGACATGTTTAGTGAGGCGCAGCAGCAAATATCGCAAGCCTCATCAGAAGCCTTGACGAAGTATAGCTGCGAGGCGGAAGGGTGGATGGGTCAGGGTTAGGGGAAGGGGGAAGGGGGAAGGGGGAAGGGGAGGGAACAAGGGCATCGGCTAGGTAAATCTAGCACCGCTAATTAGAACAATTAGACTTATTTATTGCTCTATAAACATACCTACCTAGAAAAGGTAGTTATAGTTGAGTGTATTACTCATCACCTATGTAGGTACCTAAGAAATGCACATGCTAGTGCCTATCGTACGTACCTCTATGGGTGCAGCTTCTCTCTCACTTTAGAGGTATACAAAGGGAAACTGCATAGGTTAGGTATCTAGGTAGGTACCTATATGTAAGGAAGGAGTAGACATTTTAATAATGCACTTCGCCTGCATCTTGAAACTTTAGTCGCTCTGTATTCTTCCTTTCCAACTCAACATTTCTCCCCTCGCGAGAAAGTGACTTCAGTAATGAATTATGGTCCTCAAACAAATCAGAACGAGAAACTTTTACACGATGGAGCATATGCTGCGCTGCAATAATCTCAAATGCCGAAAGGAACTTGGTGATCGCGCATTAGTGACTACATGCAGTCATATTTTCTGTACTGACTGCGCTACTCGCCTTGGTTTGACAGCACAAAGACATGAAAATCGCAACTCGTGTCCTGCTTGCAATACTCCTTTAACTAATCCCGACGATGCTGTCGTTTCAAATCTCAATCCTAGCGAGGATTACAAAACGAGTGTTCTCAGCGGCCTCAGTCCCTATGTTATTATCGAGTGCGCAAGTCGGGCCCTTAGCTTCTGGGCCTACCAAGCCACCCAGGAAGTGTTAGTGCCGTCCCGCCTCCTATCGTCCTAAGTTTACATAGGTAAGCTTATAATCTCAACTAATAGCTTCTATCATGAGAAACTCGGCTCTGCACTCACTGAAAAATACTCAAACCTCAGCGTCCAGCTTGACAAAGTCATCAATGGTGCAAACTTAGAAATCTCCCGCCTGGAAGGAAAGCTTTCAGGGGCGTTACTCTTATGTTCCAATTACATCAACTATTACTGACCTCCTATAGGCATGGGAATAGAGCATGAGAATCTACGAAGAAAGAATGAAGAGCTAGCCCACGCATACAAAGAAAAGAACCGAAAGCTCCTTCAGATCCAAGAGTTGTATGATAAGCTCAAACAAAGAGCCATGTTGGGCCAGATGCAAGATGCTGCCGAAGATGCAGTTGATTCTGCACTCCATGGCCAATCGGTAGATAGAGCCCAATTTGAGAGCGTTGGCCAAAATTCTACCGATTATCAAGATCACGGAACGCCGTATGCGCACCATCGCCCAGTGCTCCACGAGCAGCAGAGAATGCCAGCCGGATACCACCATCAGGCGATGCGACAGGACCATAACAATCCTTGGTCGAGGACTACGGGAGTTCAATGTAATAAAGCAAGAGAATATTCAGGCACGATGAGCGCGATGGCTAACATTATATAGCAAATGTCCCTATCACACCTTCGACCCATCGCCAGCGTCTTGGCGAAACGGCTGGTGTTGGTTTGTCGACCATTCCCGGTCTTGTTTCAGGAACCCCTCAAGTACACCAGACTAACATGAACCTACGAGCATCACAAGTTGACATACCGTCAACTAATCTTCAAACTAATACAAGATTCCCTGCTGTTGGACTGAGCTCTGGTCTGAAAGTCAGCCACGATGGAGGAAACTCTACCGGATTTTCCGCATCATTAGCGAGACCACGAGGTAAGTTCTCTTATTACAATAGCCCCGTTCTAAGATGGAATCGCACTAACTTGCCAGTAGCAGTAGCCCAGAGACGAACGCCAATTTCTTCGACGTTCCATCGAACACAAGCAGGCGGACAGCAGGAAAATATTCTCCCCGGAATTCGAAATAATTTCACAAATCTCTGAGCTACTTTATCCGCCGAGACTCATAATGAGAATTATTTGTGAATGATAGAGTAAGGATGGTATATCAACTCAAAGGCAGAGCTCTAAGGGTAGAATTGGGACAAGACGTTAATACATCGAACAATGCATTGTAGCTAGAGGAATACATAATGATTTGCCATTTGTTCCTTCGTTGCGAATGCCTGTTAAACCTTTCAAATTCACATCAGAACAAGAATATTGCTAAAATACAATGAAATTGTGGTTGATAATATATAGTTCTTAAGGGACGTTTCATTATCTCCTTTACGTTAGTTATTTCCGCCACCCCCTAAATCCTTCAAAGAAGAATTTGTACAAAACAAGTCGAGATTTTACTCGTACAGGTTTATTATTTCTCATCAAACTCTATATTCTAAATACCATACATCAGCAACCAAATCTAACATCAACAACCATGGCGTCCAGATACTCCCAGAATCAGCACCGCGACAGATCAAGCAGTCTTTATGGATCGCACCCCGATCTATCATCTTCAAATGAGTCTACGCAGGCGTACGACTCGCGCGGCGATCGAAGGAGTATCAAATCGTCTCAGTCTATGCAGTACCAGCAGATGGATCGAATGCTACCACGTGGGTCTCAAGTCGAGGACAAGGACATTAAAGTGACGAAAGCTTTCAGCCGTTGGCTAGGAAAGCACAAGCCCAAGAATGCTGCGAGCACTGAGAGGCTTCGTATAAGTGAACCCCATGCTATATCATTGCCGCAAGCTCCGCTGCGCCCTAAGCATTCGATTAACGAGCAAAAGCTGCTGCCAATAGGCGGATCTCGGATCTTACCCGAGCTGGAATCATCAAAGCCGCCTCTAAGGAACCCAAGTATTCAAAAGAAAAATCTCGGTAAATCTAAAGATGCACTAGGCTCATACCCAGTCGGCGCCTGGCTCGATGATTCGAAGAAGACGCACCCCCCTAGACAAATATTGTTAAAGTCTTCGGCCGAATATAGCGAAGAAGATGCTCCACGAGTTGTTAGATCTAGACCGTCATCTCGTATTACCTCAAGCTCGACGTTCTCCGAGCCTGAGCCTACACGTGACATCAAGCCCAGTCTGCCGGCGGATGTCAGAGCTGAGCGACGGAAAGGGCGGATATTCTTAAATGGTAATCCCTCCAGAAGTCTTTATGAATTCCCCGATCCGGAAGTTTGGAGTAACGAAGATGGTGATGAAAGCGACGACGACGACGACGATGACGACCAATTTTGGGATGACGCTGGTTTTGATGACTATAACTTTGACGATGCTGGCTTTGAAGAGGCCGTTTTCGAAAGTACGGGTGAGCAAGATCTCACTGACGGTTCCATTCCAGAGATCATAGTTTCTAGTCCGAGTGACGAAGAAAGTGAGTCGAAGAGACGTATGAGTTCCGAGGACCTGCTGAAACCCGACGACGTCTACAAGGTTCTTTGGAAGCAGCAGACCAAAGAAACACGCTTCTTGAACGAAACCCAGCGCTTTCTACTACCTCTGGCTTGGTTGGTGGCAGAGGCAGAAAGAATAGATGTAAATGACTTGCCTGCGTTGGAGATGGCTTTGAAGTCTATCATTGAGGACCGTCAGAAGCTCATTGACCTCTTTCCCCTGGCGAAGATATTAGCCAAGGATCAAAAGGTTGATGTTAACGACTTCAAATCATTGCCTCGGATGTTAAAAAATATCATAGCGGACCGCGATAATGCTAAAAGGTTGGCCGAGTACCACAGAGTAGCAAGGAGAAAGCTCGAATCAAGAGTCGCGCAGTTAGAGATGGAGAAAAATGGCGAAAGCCCGGACGATGAAGAGTATATCCGGTACTGAAAACCTCCTTGGCCACCACCCAAGGTAATTATGGAAGATGAGTACCTGATTCTTAAGGTCTTAAAACATACTGTTACTTGGTAATTCTAAAGAGCAGCAGGCAAGGACCATTTGCGACTGATAGAGGTATAATTCGGAACATCTCTCTGACCGTAAGTACTCATTAACCTAAACCCCCTTCCACCAATCCCCAATATTTATACCATCACCCCTATTTTCAATTTCACATATCCACATGGCTTTAATAAGCATCCAACTCCCCTTACCACTTTAATATTGGGAGTAGTTAAGAATCACCCACCTACAGGATTCTGTAAATCGACAACGATGCCATAGCCTCCCTAATCAATATGAGGTTACCGGGCACCGCATATTAATTGACGTCTTATCATGAATACCTATACAGTATAAGAACGTACTTGAATCTTTCTATTCAAAACAACGAGCGGGTCATACGAGACCTAGCGAGTCGCCATCACTTCGTTAACGACATTATTTTTCCATCTCTTCCTCGACCTGTGCGGGAGGTAAGAGATACGAAAGCCATTCATTTTAGCACGTTATTTCATCGGGCCGAGTAGAGATGCTCGGGTACGAATCTTATAATACAGAAAACCTATCCTCCCGGTCTGGCCTGGCGGGTGGACCGGTGGACGTTACGCTCGTTACTTTCCATATTTACCTACCCAGGTATCTTCACTCATTTACGACATTGTTTAATTATTATTAAAGTTGTTTACCATAGTTACGCATCTCGTTACTGATATCTTTAGTTACATAGATGTGTGCATATTTAATATAATGATAAAAAACAAAAATTCTTTTATCGACATACTATTGAACTACTCTCTCTGTGATCGTGATCGTGATCGTGATTTACTTATGTTCTATCTATTACTAAGGGGAGCTAGGTATCACTGGGTTAAATTTTATATAAATTTGGAGGTATTTGACGTTATGTTATATTATTATTGTAGCTAATTCCGGAGTACTCCTTAAGGGTACCCTTCCAAGTCTATATGAATATTGACTCGATATTTACCATTACCTACGATTCGGATACCTCCTGTAGCTGCATGTGAGCCCCTGAAATAATACAACGTTCAACCTAGCTCCATGGATAGAACTCATTGGGCGAGAAAATGATTGACCTCTTTTCAGCACCTCGCCATCTTAGACACGGTATGTGCTCGCTTTCCCGTTTTTGATTCGTCACCTTAATTCCCAGTTCCGAATTGAGCAGCTTCATCGCGCTGCGAAGCTCCGGGCTTGGATTCCAAATATCCACTTCTAGCAGCTCCCACTTGGCAGCTTCTTCGATGGCGTCGAGTAGGAGCCGGGCGATTGCCCGTGTCGAGGTCGCTTCGTCTTGGCCGCGGGGCGGTTTGACGCGCTGGATTGTGATCTTTCGATGGTGGAGATCGGAGAACCAGTATACCCAGGAGTCTGCGCTCTCGCAGATACTGCCTCTTACTTCCGGGGTCTTGCCGTTTGTCTGGTTGTTCATGTATGCTATTCGAGCTTGTAACCAGGTAATCATGTTCGCAGTGGGTAGGATAGTCACGAGCACACTGTCTTTCGGGAGATCGTATTTCTGGAAGTCATCTTTGAGACTTTCCACGTCCCGCTCGCAGAGGCGGGGAATATCATCTATGGTTAATGGGCGCGTCTCTGGGAACTGGGTTTGTTCTTTATGTGGAACAGATGGGGGAACTGTCAAAATAGATTCTTTCGAATCTAGAATATCCCAACCTTTGCTGACGTAGAACTAAGGGGTTCTTGTCAGCATGTTGAACCACGACGTAATTGTTAACATGACCTACATCTCCCACATCCGAGTATAGTATACTAGCCGTCGCATTTCCCGGTCCATCTAACCATTCAGCAACGCCTTTGAGTAAGACAGAGGCGAGACCGCGTCCACGGTAAGTCGAATCGGTAACGACGCTGAAGATGCAGTAGCCCTGTTGTTGGCGTGCCATCGCCTCCCCGTGCGGAGCGGAATCATCCCGGACTAGTAGATCCCTGTGCATCGTCTTGCACATGGCTAATACTTGTTCGGGATCATCGGCCAGTGTGAGACACCACCATCGCCAGCCGGTGCCTCGCACAAGAGGTTGGCTTGCGAGATATTCCTCTCGCCCTAGGTAACCTTCCGGCGTAAGTGACTTCCCGAAGGCTGTAGAAGCAAGTTTGGCGGACCGGACTCGCTCTTCGGGTGTCGTCGCCTCGGAGAAAATTACTTGAAGCGTGCCGCGGGCATTTTCGATGGTAATTAGTTGCGTCTCTGTCATTGTTGTAATATTTATCTTTCTTCTTGTTATAAGGCTAGGTGCCTAACCTTAGGTATGTAGGTAATTATGAGGGTTGATTGCTTCTCCTAACGAAACCGGAAGGCCGTTGTGGTAAGAACGGCCGGTATAAGTGTCTCCGCATCTGGTCCGAGATTCGTTTATAAATCGGGTCGTCCACTCTTCGCTTAGGTGCGGATCATTTATTGGTGACCCTCGCCTCATTGCTGGTTCCCCTCAAGATGTCGTCTTTTATATATCCGATTTTCTGTACGATTCGCACCGCGCATCACGCTTGTCTGCAATGGTTCCTGTCGTACACTTTTCATCTTTCCTATCGTTGTGCTCGGTTATATCGATAACGAATTATCTTTAGAATCCCCCGCTTCGTAAGGGGTCGTATTACACAGTAGATTTTGCTTGCTAAGCGACCTACCCTTGGATTGCCTCGAGATAGGTAATAGACAGAGATATTATACATACCTTAGGTGCCTAGGTATGCATACTAGTAGTCCTTAGCTACATGTTATATTTATAGCTCCTCGCGTAATATAATACTATTTTCTTACTTTATTATACTAAATCTCTTCGGGTGGATTAACAGCTTCGTATTCGTACCCTGTAAAGGGTCATACGAAGCGCCAAGACTTAAGATCTTGAATAAATAATAGTTTAAAAGATCTCAGCTAACCGCGGGGTAGTATTTTCACCTGCTCAGTTAATGTCAGTAAGATCGTGAGAAGGAAGTACGGTGAAATGGATGCCACGGGAAAGCAAATACTGTATACCGCGATCGCGACGCTTCTCGTGATTGGCATCGCTTGGATATGGAAACTCAACAGCGCGTTGAAACAGACACCACCGGAAGTATTAGCTGTCTCCCCACACCGCTGGACAGAGCAAGAGATCAAAGATACATATCGACGCATTGAGGCCAACCCAATCGACTGGGTTAAACAACTCCCGCCGCGGCTAAACCGTCGCTACATTGTGACGGGCGGTTGCGGGGGAGTCGGCGGTCAGATCGTCCTACACCTACTTGCCCGCGGCCAATCCCCGGAGAGCATCCGAATCGTCGATTTCCAAAAGCCGGTCCGATCTGATCTAATAACGGGCTCTGCCGCTCTAGTTGACTTCGCGCAAGCTGACATCACATCGCCACCGGCAACATCTGCGGCATTTAATAAGCCATGGCCCAAGAGCGTTGCCCATCTTCCGCTTACTGTCTTCCACACGGCTGCTATCATCCAAGCGTCGGAACGCTCCCTGAAAACTTATGAGCACGTAAAGCGTGTCAACGTCGACGGTGTGCAAAATGTCTTAGATGCGTCGAAGCAAGCTGGCGCTGACGTCTTCGTGTCCACGTCTTCCGCCTCGGTCGCTTATATGCCCGTCAGATATTGGAATAATCCGTTTCAGCGCTGGCCTGAGAACTATTGGCAAGTACTTGACGATTCTGATTTTGACCGACCGTTGCGACCGCACGCGCAATTCTTCAGCAACTACGCGTATGCAAAGGCGACCGGCGAACGCCTTATCTCCGAAGCCAATAACCCTAGTTTCCGCACGGGACTCGTGCGCCCCGGGAACGGCATCTATGGTAGCAGTCACGGCGACCAGATAATTGGGCTATGTTTGAGGGCTGGTACGTTCCCGAGTTGGACGAGGAATATCATTCAGAACTTCGCGCACGCCGGAAATGTGTCATTGGCGCATTTGCTTTTTGAGGCAGCGCTATTGAGAGATGAGAAGATAATGCCTAAGTGCGCCGGCCGCGCGTTTACCGTTACGGACGCTGGACCACCGCCCATATATGACGATGTCTACAAGTTACTACGAATCACGGCCACGGCCAACACGGCGCCTATCAAGGTTATGTATCTGCAACCCGGAATTATGTTATGTCTCGCACATATCATTGAGTGGTTTGACCTAGCAAGTCGAACACCGGTACTCGAATGGATAGTACCGCGGCCTAAGGGCGAACTAGCAAAGTTGCAGCCGGCCATTTTCACCCCCTGCTCGCATCTGTTAGCATCAAACGAGGGTGCGGGACGAAGCATCGACGAGGGTGGCATCGGGTACCGACCTGTTCATAACACAATAGAAGGAGTTTGTCAACAAGTTTTAGAGTGGAATATTGAGCATCAGGACTCAGCGAAACAAGGACCTCAAAGCAGCGCAGAGACTTTTGTAAAGGAGATCAAAAACGTAGGCGTTATGCCTACTGCTATGGGTGCTTGAGCGTAAAGCTATGTTATTACACCACCTACTAAGCAGTTTTTCATGATTTTCTATATATCTTCTATAAAACATTAAAACCCCTTCATTTTCAAAGCTCCGCGCAGAAGGACTCATCTAAGCATATGGATACTACCGATCTATAAACTGTCCACTATTGATGATAATACATCGTTCTGGTGAAATTACACTATAGTTATGTTCGAACAACTGGCATGTTTTCTGACCAGTCGTGTTGAACTGGAATAAAACAAATGTCCCTAAACGACGACCTTGCTCAACCCTGTTCTTGGGGCTATATGGTAAAGAGATAGCCACTGAAATCTGATTTGATGGATGTCACGACAGAATAGTTAATCCTAACAATTCATTAATATAGCTACCTTCCACAAAACACGAAGACAAAACTGCACCTCTCAAATTATTGAAATCGAGACACCATGTCAGCAGATATTACTCCTCCCGCGGAGGCACGGCCACCCCGCCTTACCTTCGGCGTTGAAATGGAATTTGTAGTTCCTTGGCTGCCCGAGGGCGGCGACGACGTCCTCGAACATATCAAAGGTCTACCTCCCGTCCTTAGGATAAAGAAGGCACCAAAGGATGGAGACATTGCATCCGTGATTTATGAGATGGTCAAGGTTCTCTTCGAGAAACACAATCTTCCTGTCAATGTCAAAACGTATACATATAAGACTAGATTTGTCAAGACAATACTTGGTCATTATAACCATTGGGGAGTTATGGAAGACGTTACCGTCAATGAACCCGTCGAAGCCAAAACCTTTGACTGGGTTAAAAAGTTTGAATGGGTAGGCGTTGAGGTTCAGACTCCTGTCGAGCCTGATATCCCTGCTGCTTTCGAGGCTCTTAATTACGCTCGACAGCTTCTAACCTCGTCGTATAGGTGTCGTGTCAACCATTCCTGTGGACTTCACGTTCATGTTGGAAACGGCGGCGAGTACTTTCCCCTCGACTCCTTGCGACGCATTGCTTCACTAGTATTTGCTACGGAGCATTTACTCACCACCCTAAACCACCCCTGGCGGGTAGTAAATTGGAACTGTCGAACATTGCGGGACAGGAGTAACTTGTCGAATCGGTTAGACGGTCAAGCAATGAGTCCTGGCCCGATGCATGAAACCGGATCCGCAAGAGATTGCATCCGGTATCTTGCCACAGAGGTCCGACACGGAGAGGAGCCTGTCTCCTGGAGAGAAGCGAATCGAGGGAATGAGTATGTTGATGCTTTTGATGAAAATAGGAATAATGCTGGCTTTGAGCCCTTCCAGTCAAAGCCAGATCCTAAGGCTGGGGAAGAAGCACCAAAAAAGAAAGAAATAAAGGGGAAGAAGGCAGTAGGAAAAGAAGAAGAAGAAGAAGCAAATAAGGTAACCAAAGCGTCTGACGATCCGTTCAGTCGGCCTCTCGAGCCCAGCAAGCCCGTCCGCACACGAAACATCCCAAGAATCGTAAGACCACGCTATACCAATGAGCAACTCGAAGACATCACCGAAAAGACAAGAGACTTCGGTTGCTCCGGCCTCATAATAGAGGGCCCAAGGTCCCATCGAGCACCCGACCCAGGCGTATTCGCAGGCGTCCAGCAAATCTACCAGAGCGCGAGCAGCTGCGAAATCGCGCACCTCATGTATCCCCGAGGAGGAGCCATGGTGAACTTCCGGCACTACGGGTGCGATTCATTCACGCATCGCAACTCGGGACGCACGATCGAGTTCCGGGGAGCCGAGGGCAGCCTCAGCTCCTGGGTAGTGATCTGGGCCAAGATCTGCGTGGGCCTGATCAAGTTCGCCGTTCGATCGCCGTACTACGAGTTCGCTCGCGTCTTGGAAAACTGCGACGTTTCGACCGATCGGGATGGCGCGTATGACTGCATCGACTTGCTGGATGATCTGGGACTCTATGCGGAGGCGGAGGCTGCTGAGAAGAGGATCGCGGCGAATAAGGCGGAATGGGGGCTTGAGTACGTTGAGGAGGAGGAGGAGGAGAAGGCAGCTTGAATAATTACGTACGCTATGTACCTGTAATTATCTATTTCTTTCTCTCTTCTCTTCCATTGAACAAGATCTTTAGTTAGGGAGAGCATCTTATTTGTTGTAGAACATCCGGCCCATTGTATGCTGGAGCTTTCATTTTAAGAAATACTAGGTACTCTTTGTCTACCTGTTATTTCCAACATCTTAGAATAATAGATTTGGCCTAGTTTAATATTCATATCTAAGGTAGTATCATAATACTTTTAAGTGACAAGTGCCAGTTTCCAAATTCTGCACATTGTCTTTGTTATCTTCGTAAGCTACCTATGTTATACCCCCATATATAAGTGGTGAAAAGGGGCAAATTATAGCATAGACCCTAATCTAGTGCTATTCTATGTATTTGCAAAATCCGAGATGCGTTAGTTAGTTGATACTCCTAGTTATGCTTAAACAGGCGTAAGCCCTAGCGTAAGTCCTAGCAATCATTCTCGCCGGTCCACATCGTCTACTATGTAAATCCTTCTGAGCCCCCTGGAGCTTGTACAAAGCCAAGTGAGACATTTCTATACTTTCGAGCGTCTGCGACGAAAATGCACTATTTTTTTCTATATAGATGAAATAATTGACTGGCACAGCGATTGTCGTCTATGTAGTAAAGGCACTCTTGGCCAATGAAGATCCTGACGTCGAAAATATTCGTCAGACCCTCAGCTGAACAGCAAAGCCACGATCTAAATAAAAAGTCCTAGACCATACATACATAGACCATAGACTAGACCCGAGAAACGGCTTATGCATCTCGATCTGGACCCGACCCGTGTTACATCATCTCGCCAAGTAAGTTGATTGGCTCATCCTTCTATAATAAAATTGACAGGGTCAATTTAAGATGACCAGATACCCCGTACTAAACCTAAACCGGACTCTTAAAGGATCACATCTGCCAAGATGATCTCCCCATAATCAGCTGCACAGCCAAGAGCAGTGACATATCGGGTTTTGAGGCTTCGAACCCTTGGCTCTGCTGCCTTATGGGATCCATCGTTTTTGATATGGAGTCCTAGGTATATAAACTTGTCAGTAAGCTATAAGATTTTAATCTCATTCCATCTTTCACGGAAGTCCTTAAACCAAATATCCAACCTTACCTAAAACAAACTTTCGTTACTTAACAACACGTCGACGTACATCTCATTCTCATTCAAGATGGTCTCCCAAATCACGCTCGCTATTCTCGGTCTGGCTTCTACCGCCGTTGCGACATACAGCCCCTTGCAGCTGAGGAACCTCCACAACCTGCGCCAAGAACATGTTGTCGTCGAGGTGCGACAGGTATCTTCGGCAGAGCCTGAGATACCTACAATCACGCAAAGCCCCGAGTGTTTTTCTGCCCTAGCGCCGCTGGGCTCCGACCTCCCCAGTGTCCCGCTCGAGCTGCTGTCGTACATGGAGTCGTTTGCTGCGACGGCCGACGTCAGCAACCCGACCATCTTGTGCGAGGCCACCCAGGTGCCTCAGTCGCTGTCTTCTCTGTACAGCTCGTACGACCAGGCAGCTAGCAGCTGGCTCAGCAAGCACAGCAGCGACTTACAAGTCGCTGTTACTAAGTGCGGCGGCAGCGATGCCCAGGTCAGCGAGGCAGTAGCTTCTATCAGCGCTTTCATTGGAGATGGATGCGGTGCTTCTTCGAGCGGTGCTTCTTCGAGCGCGGCTTCCGCCGGGTCCGCCGGGTCTACAACCGCATCGCAGGGTCTTGCCGCCCGACCTACCGGTATGGTTGCAGGTGCTATGGCTGCCGCCGGTGCTCTTGGCGTCGCGGTACTCCTATAGTTGGATCCCTGGTATGCGTATACACTAGCGTTGAAAACGGACTCTTTTGTATAAATTAGACAATGTAATATACCCAAATTCAATCCCCTTCCGCATACTTACATGTATGTTTGCATTGCGTGTTATACATCAATACAACATTACCCAACGTTTAAGTTCCATGACGGCTTTTTATTATGTGTACCTAGGTCAGGTAGTTTCGGTAAAATGTTGGATGTTTGGAATAGGCACTGACAAGTATAAAATATCAGATATTGTTAAAACTGGTAGTGACACTACATGAGATGAGGGTTGTGATACTGTGGAATGATAGTGGTGTCACCATTGATTGTTTAGGTATATTCCGTATTCCATATTCTGTATTTGCGTACGTAAACCTCGGTGCCTGAACAGGGACCTGAGTCAATGCGTGCGTACCTACATAGAGACCACATAACACACCTAATGTATCACACCTATGTACCTAAGGCATGCAGGTATCCGCCTTCTACAACCGATTTCTTTTTTTTCTTTCACTTCGACAAACAAGCAAATCTTAATCTAGAATTATATATTTTTTGGAAGTATAATACTCATCGCTATGGCCAAGCTAAAGAGTTTACCTTCTGAACTTTTCCAAATGATCGCGACTTGCGGCATTCTGAGAAGAAGTGATCTTGCGTCCCTTACTCTCACCAACAAGCAACTCTATTTTGCCATCAACAAAATACTTTACAAGACCTTTGGAAGCCCGGTCGCAATTGAATTTGCCGTAAAAAATAGCACGATTGGTACTCTTGAAGCTGCCCTTTCCTTCGGACTGGACATACACTACGATGGCGATGAACCACTCCACCAGGCTTGCAGGGGGGATCGGATTGAAGTTATAAAATGGTTATTAAATCATGGCTCGTCGGTCGACACCGAACTCATATCTGGTATATCTGGTACTTCCGCCGATGTGTCTCGTTCTCCGCTGTTCTCCGCACTCGTCGTCGGGAGCGAAGATGCTGCCTTGTTGTTACTTAAACTTGGGGCTACTCCTAGATTCACCTTTCGCTCTGATTATCATAATCATAAAGGGTACATGTGCTATCATGTAGCTCGCCGGGCATACTATTATACAGCTCTTCACATAGCGGTTGACAAGGGTATGCTGCGTGTGATGGAATTTCTAATTCATGAACACATACAACCCATTGATGAGAATGTCCATGGCTATCCATTTCATGGTTATCCATTTCATGGTTATCCATCGGTCTTAGTCTTCTCAATTGGGCAACACAGTCCTAATCGGTTGAGTACATTAAAGAAGCTGATTGAGCTTGGGGCCAACGTCAACGTCGAAACTTACAACGGTGGAAGTCCATTCATACTTGCTCTTGAGTATGGCTACTATGACTACGCGGAAGCACTACTTGATGCAGGTGTGATGATTAACTCGAGATCCACCAACCCTAGAATAAAACATCCCATTCATGCTTGTATTAGTGGCTCGAGACACGACTTCCTTGGAGGATGCGCCATGCTTTCTAGGCTAATAGAAGCTGGTGCAGACCTGGAAAAGAGTTACCTAGGAGGATATACTCCCTTGGGACAGGCTGTGGTAGATGGGCATTGCAAAATGGTATCTCATCTCTTATCATTGGGTGTTCGTGTCGATGGTCAAGATTCATCCGGACGTACTCCACTAGATCGCTTCGTAGACCATGCGAGCCATGACTATGGGCAGTTTCCAGAAAAAGTATTAGCACTCCTACATGGTGGTGCTAGGATGGATACACCTTTGTTTGATGGAAGGACATTACTGGAATGGATAATTCAGGATTGGGACATTCATGAATTTATTCCTAGACCTTCCAGTACGGACCTACTTGAGCAATTGTTGGCCGCAGCTACTTCGGCAATGTTGAACAAGAAGCACCTGGATGAACTCCTGTTTATATTCTTCGAACCGAGGTACTATAAGGAGTGCATCATACTCCTCTATCATGGCGCCACTTTGAAACTCTACGACGAGGCATATTCTGCTGCAAGAGACATGATATCCGCTTACGAACACCACCAGCCACGCGATCCGGTAAATCATTTCATATACTTCCAGATGATTGCCCATGCAGGCTTGCCAGCAGAAAAATTCGACGAGTTGATCGCCTATGCTCGAGAAGTAGGAGACATAGATAGCAACCGAGCCCTACTTGGAATCAACTGACTCTAGGACTTGAAACAAAACTGGTACCATTAGGTTCCAAAAACGATATCACGGCCGTCGTGGAAATGGCTATGAAAGGAGGGTTTCATTAACCAAAGTGCGAACATGCCCCAGACTTGATCACAAGGGCAGCACCCCAAACACGTTTTGACATTTCTAGAATGAGACGAAGGACCAAAGAAAAGAAAAAAAGAAGAAAAACCTAAGTGTTGATGACATGTTTTCTCTAGGCTCGTATTCTTGTAGGGTAAGCAGAAATAATAAAATCAGTGCCCATAAACCAGTGGAAGGTATACTCTCATTGCTGGCCCCTATTCCCATTTTAACAAACCGCTATGACAGATATGCGATGAAGCATATATCGCTAAATAGGGGTTTCGTATTTATGTATTGTATTATGGCGTAAGGTGGCTGTGCGCCGATACCTTTACAAAGTACACGTCAATCTGATGTAGGATTTAGGAGGTGACGCCACATCTTAATAACGTTAATCATTCGTTGATGATTAGTTCGAAACTCGGGACTTTCGCTAAGAGCAACGCGTCTACATAATCTGTCGGCTTCCTGTCATTAAGTGGAATTAAAACGTACCTAATATATACAATAAATCCCAAATTCGCATAATTCGCATAATTCGCATTGGAGTGTCGCGCGGGCCGGCTGAGTTATTTTGGTTCGACGACACATGGCCTCTCTATTTATCTAAGGAGAAACACGCGACAATGGGTATGCGAATCGAGTCTCTATACGGATTAGACGGTAATCCTTGCTAACCTTCCTACAGCGTCCCCGAGACCATCGCACGACTCCCTTTCTTCTGTATCTACGACGAGTTTGGTATTCGAACGACTTAGCGAACGAGAGAAGCTGAACGAGGGTATTTCCGATTTGGACGACGAAGATCCATTACACGATGACTCCGGGGATGAAGCTGGTGGCTTCTTACCTCCCCTTCCGGCAAGGAGGGCTGTCGGGGTAGATAAATCTCTAAAGAGGTTCGTCCTTGTTATGGCTGGCGTATTTCTTGCTGCTTGGCTAGTTGGTCTATTCACATATTTATCGACCAAGTCATACCAGCACTCTTCTCAAAAGGAGCACGATCCGACCGCTACGGCAGCTCGCGGATCCGGCAAGAAAGTCACGTTAGATCAAGTATTAGACGGCTACTGGCGACCTCAGAGCCATGGAATAAGCTGGATCGCGGGTGCGAACGGAGAAGATGGATTGCTTTTGGAAAAAGGTGCGAATGGGAAGGATTTCCTCGTTGTTGAAGATGTTCGGAGCAAGAATGAAGACCACGCTGCAGGCGGTGGGGAGATCAAATCTGCGCAGACGCTCATGCAACAACCCTGGTTTAAGGCTGGCGATCAACAATTATCACCAGACCAAGTCTGGCCGAGCCCGGACCTAAAGAAAGTACTCATCGCTACTCAGACAAAAAGCATTTGGAGGTATTCTTTCACAGGAGTATACTGGATTTTCGATGTCGAGTCTCAAACTGCCGAGCCCCTAAATCCTCAGGATCCCAACCTCCGAGTGCAGCTTGCCCAGTGGAGTCCGAAGAGTGATGCTGTTATATATACAAGTGCGAATAACCTGTATGTACGGCGGTTGGAAGGCAAGAACGTTGTGCAGATCACGAAAGATGGTGGACCGGAGTATTTCTACGGCATTCCAGATTGGGTATACGAGGAAGAGGTATTCGGCGATAATAGCGCGACGTGGTGGTCTGAGAAAGGAGACTTTGTGGCTTTCTTAAGAACGAACGAAACCCTAGTGCCTGAATACCCAATCCAGTTTTTTATTGATAGGCCAAGCGGCGAGGCGCCCCCCGCTGGAGAGGAAAGCTACCCAGAAGTGCAACAGCTGAAATACCCAAAGGCCGGCTCGCCCAACCCATTTGTAGACCTTCTGTTCTACGATATGGCCCGGGGCGATGTTTTCTCGGTCGAGATTGAGGGAGGTTTTGCCGCGGATGACTTGTTAATTACTGACATCACGTGGGCTGGAAATAAGGTCCTCGTGAAGGAGACGAATCGTGTTAGTGACATTATGCGAGTTATTCTAATCGACGTTACTTCCCGGACGGGCAAGACCGTTAGGACAGTCGATGTGGGCAAGCTAGATGGCGGTTGGTTTGAAATATCACATGATACCACGTATATCCCAGCCGACCCTTCGAACGGTAGACCTAATGACGGCTACATCGATACTGTTATTAAGGATGATAGGGACCACATGGCATATTTTAGCCCCCTAGAATCCGAAGAACCTGTCATGTTGACATCGGGGAATTGGGAGGTCGTGGCAGCGCCTTCTGCAGTTGATCTGAAGAATAATCTTGCATACTTTGTCGCTACAAAGGAGTCCTCTATCCAGCGACACATTTATAGTGTTAAGCTTGACGGGTCTCACTTGAAAGAGATGATCGATGTCAGCAAGGAAGGTTATTATGATGTTTCGTTTTCCGCCAAAGCCGGATATGCCCTCGTCACTTATAAAGGGCCAAATGTCCCAACGCAAAAGGTTATGAGCACCCCGGGCAACCCGGAGGTATACGAACACATTATTGAAGAGAACAAAGACTTGGCGGATAAAGCAAAGAAGCACGAGCTGCCATTGCTAGACTACGGTACAATTACTATAGATGATGTCGAGCTTAACTACCTCGAGCGCCGTCCAGCGCACTTCGATCCGAAGAAGCGATACCCCGTGCTCTTCCAACAGTACTCCGGTCCGGGCTCACAGTCGGTTGACAAGCGTTTCGCTGTCGACTTCCAGTCATACGTCGCTGCCAACTTAGGTTACGTCGTCGTTACGGTTGATGGGCGCGGGACAGGATTCATAGGGCGGAAGGCGCGCGTAATTGTACGAGAGCACCTCGGACAAATAGAGGCTCATGATCAGATCGCAGCAGCTAAGATCTGGGCTGAAAAGCCATATATAGATGAGTCGCGGGTTGCGATCTGGGGATGGTCATATGGCGGGTTCCAGACACTCAAGACGCTGGAGCAGGATGCGGGCGCTACGTTCAAGTACGGCATGGCGGTGGCGCCGGTAACAGACTGGCGCTTCTATGATAGTATCTACACGGAGCGGTATATGCTCACGCCGCAGCAGAACGGGAAGGGCTACGATGGCACTGCTGTCAGCAACGCTACGGCCTTGGCGCAGAACGTGCGCTTCCTTATCATGCATGGTGTTGCTGATGATAACGTGCACATGCAGAACACGCTTACGCTGTTAGATAAGCTGGACCTGGCTGGCGTTGAGAACTACGATCTGCATATGTTCCCGGACAGTAACCATGGTATTTACTTCCATAATGCGAATCGCATCGTTTACGATAGTAAGTCACCCCCCCTCATTTATGATATGGTCTATTAGGGGCATCGCACGCTAATAAGCGACAGAACTAAACAACTGGCTCATCAACGCATTCAACGGCGAATGGTTGAAGATCACAGACGCGAAGCCTATACCTAATAAAGCGAAGAGGGATATAGAAATAGTTAAAAAGTCGGGGATCAAAGCCAGCGGCGGGCAGACACTGCCGCTATCAAGTCTATCTGGGCTGGGTTTATTATAGAGTACATTGTATAGCGGCGTCCTGGTGTACATCTATTTGGGCCTTTATGCTTTTGCATAGAATATATCAACAAATGAATACAATATGAAGCCATATGATACTGGGTCCTAAGTTAGTAGTATAGTGATGTTGTTTGCTTGGCTAGTACTTGTATGTTTTCCTATAAAGTCAGGAATGGTCGGTTAGTGTACCTACGGTAAGGTATACCATGACTTTACCCCTATTATAAGTTGACATGTTAATGCGAACAAGCCCCTGCCTATAATGTCTGAGATACGAGCAGTCTGAAAGGTAAATTTCTCATAATCAATTTCGTGGTATATAACGATCATTAAAACACCCTTGAGCTTTCAGGATCATCTCAGTTTCAGACCCCCTTAAAAGTTCATGGCCGACTCACATTCTAACATAACTAACCGGGTCAGCCTAGTTATCCAATTTAAAATACATATCGAAGTTAATTAACTAGCTGCGGAGGAACCTGTGTACTGGGATCAATCTTCTCGACAATAGCAGCGGTGCCATAAGCGCAGCACTGGGCAAAACCACCCATATCACCCGATTCGAAGCCGAGGCAAATAATGGCGTTCCCACCGCGAGCCTTTGTCTCGGCCACGACTCGACTGATTGCGTCGTCCCTCGCCGAGAACTCTGACTACGCGGTACCCCGGCACGTCGAACATGGTGGTTGTGATGACGCCTTCGGTCTCGGTGAAGCAGTGCAGGTCTGAGACTTGTGGCGGGACGTCTGCGCGGGGGGGGGGGGGTTGGAGTGGGAATTCATTGTTCTTGTATTTAGGCGTTGCGGTGGTTTGATTGTTGATCTGTAACTGAGAATGATTTCTTAGACGGATAATGAGGGTTTGATCGGAGGTCTTCGGTATGCTGGCGACTCAAGGTGCCTTAGAAGATACTAAACTGTAATTGGTCAGTTCCCCTTGCGGTTTACCTAAAGCGGCCGCCGTATATTTCCTTGTAAGCGCCTAAGTTGAGCCTTGGCGACGATCAGTGCCGCCACTAGCCGATGCCAGCCGATATACCTCGCTTTCATCTTCTATTGTGAGGTATACACTAACATCCATTTAACCAGTCGTAGGTGCGTACCAAAGTATTTTAGGTCACCATTAAAACTCTCCCCGGTTTTATTCTAAGTCTCTGAGGGAGGAATTGTCAGAGTATCTGAGACAAGACTTTGCTTTATTGACTATTCATAGTTGGGCCGATGAAAGGCGCTGAAGACTTGCATGACTTTGTTGGGTCAAATGAATGTAGGTACCTAGCTACCAAATCTAATTTGGTCTGATCCGAGTAAAGAGCTTCTGTGTACCTTAATAATGAAATTCTCATGTTATCATTGAGCTAATAAGCGCACATCTCTTCTACCTTGGTCCGTCAATGTATAAATCACGTCTGAAGACATTCTCCTGCTGTTTGGTCTTAGGTAAAGACTAATTTGTCAGTCTGATTTGATATCCGCTGGCTTGGAGATATCTGCTCCCAGTTAGGCCCAAAAGCCCCCGGCTTTCCCTCGGGTTGCCTGCTTGAGGTGGGAGTATCCATGGCCTCTTGATCTGTGGGTTGGATCAACCTTGCGATGATAGACCGAGACTTTAACAAAAGGGTCATCGTTTGGAACCGGAACATCGTAGCCGTGCTAGCACGCAGATTAGGACCACATATAGCGATTAAAAATCCCTACGGGTAGGCGAGTACTAGGGATAAATAGAAGAAAAATTGCTTAGACGTACTACTTTGACTCTCCAATGGAGATTCTTCTCCAGATGCCGCGATACGTGTTCAGGATCCGTGATTGAGGGTAAACTGTGATCACTGGTCGTCGATGCGACATCCTGCGAGGAGGATACGCGGGGGAGTAGTACGGCGGTGATTGGTATCTGAGCCGTCGACTTTGTTCCCTCGGAGGACTTAACCCTACAGTTTTCGCATCCTGGCGCATTCGGGTTTTGGTAAACCGGATTAGTGAACGTGTATACGTACCCCACAAGGCTCGGGTGGGTGTAGAGTGGTTCTTTGTACTGGTTAATGTCATCTTCATCACCAATGAAGAAGTATACAGTATATGGGAGGCCATTAAAGGCGAACCTAGAAGATGGTCAACATGATACTTAATGCGGCCTTTTACGGATTTCTGTCTTGACACGTCTTACCTCTTGTACTCAACGTTGACGATGACGTCGGCTGGAGCGTCCGCTACTTCTGGAGAACTGTAAAGCTTTTTCAGTTGATTTTGGATGTCATTGATATAGAGCTGCTTGTCGAACTTGCCCTCTGGCTTATACTTGGGGAGCCAGGGTTGAAGCTCAGGGTACGAGTAACCCCATTGCGTCCAGTCCCTAATATCGTCAGATGTAAAGTATGCTCCCTCCGCATTCTTGTGAAAAGGAGCCAATGGAGTCTCCGGGGTGTCAACGGTTCCTTCTTTAATCGACCAAGTGCCGTCGTCTGTTAGTTGTTCATCCCGCCTCTCGAACCAGTTCTCTTCGTTATCCACATTAAGGGCTTGCCAGATAGCGAATTGCCGGTCGACATTGCTATGAGAAGATGTATTAGTTTTAAGCCTCGCATAGATGGATTGAGAATACTACCAGTGATGCATGAAAAAGATCGGGTCGAATGCAGCAACTGGAACTTCCGTCATATGACCCATGTACTTATCTGTACCGCCGGTCCAGTTGTGAATATTGTTATGGATAAACTCCAGGTTCAAGTATGATGCTTCCTTGTTAGTTTCGCTATATTTTGTCGTGGCGAACTGAGAGAACGAAGTGATGTATTCTGGTAAAAAGAGACGGTATGTCATCTCGGCCAAGGGCAAATTCTCTCCGGTATACCACTTGTGGTCGCTGAGCGCCTCGGCCACCTTCTCGTTATTGACTTCTCCATTCACCCACTCGATGGAGACGTTGGACGACTCAGGTTCAAAAGGAGCCCATCTGCTGGTACCTTTGGATTTGGAAAACTATGAAGAGAATTGGATGGTTAGCGCGACATACACATAAATCTGGAGCAAAGGCTTGCTTACTGGAATAGTCGTCTTTGTGCCATCTGACGTCTGACTATCTACGTCTCCGACGCCATAGGGACCCATTGCTACTCCATCTGGCATGGTGAATTTGTACATTGGATTGTCGATTTTTACTACGGTTATTCCATCGTTCAAGTTAAGGACTTCTATTTCAGGGTCTTTAACAATCATTGGAACATCGTAGATGACCGAGTCGCCTCGCTTCTTTTTCTCCGCCCAATCCCAATAGGGCAATCGGAAGGTAGCAGCTGCGTCACGCCAAACCTTTCGCATATTTTCGGGAAGCCTCTTGATCACCTCCTTCTCCATGATCTCATAGAGAACTTGCTGTGATGTAACTTAGTTGCAATGGACCTCGTTGTTAGAATGATGGATTCTATGATATACCTCGAATAGGAGCACGTATGGTCGATGCCAGCAAGGGAAGAGAATGCTGTCGTGAGTACAGTAGCCCTCATTTGGGGTTTGAGGTTTTGTATCCTCATCCCAGGGTTGGTAAGGGAATCCATGGATACCTAGGAAGCATGGACTTTAGTTATTAGGATTCCAAAGGATGGAATTTCTAGCAGAGCGCTACTGACCGGCGATCTGGAAGTAGGATAGCTTTTCTTTAGGATCCTTTTCCCCTAGAAAACGTAGAGCCCAGATGAAAAGGCTGTTTTGGAGGAGGTGTTCCTTGGTCTGTCCTGGGTACCAACTGTCAGCCTCCAGGCGGAGGGGTACTGTGTCATGAGTGACGCCGGCCTTGATGCCGGTGATTACGTATTTTCCCATTTCAATCTGAATTATGCGGATGGGGGATAAATAGTGAATTGGATTTGGAATATCAGTGTGAGTAGTATACTCGAAAGAGGAGGGTTTCTTTTATTTATATAGTTGAACAGTGTTGGAACAGTGTTAGCAATGGTAATCTGACAACTTCGTTGAACTCGTAGTCCTACCATCTGGCCTATATTAAAAGCAGGGGTAGATGAGGGATGTTCATATGGTCCCTCTATAGCTGCATATCCAGATGATGGTGTATTCTGCGAAGTAGTACAAGCCTTCCTGCAGTCTGACATATTAATCACCTTCCACCGCAGTTACATACCCGAGTATATAGTTTAGTCGTGCATGCCTCCAATACACAGTATTAAGTCGAGCTAGCAGTATATAATTATTATCAGACTTATACTATGTATTGTGCTTGTTGATTTTGCTCGTGTATCTGAGTATAGTACACTATCGCGAAGAGTTATGCATCTAATTATATCTCATTCCATAGGAATCAAAGACAAGTACGCGAAGAATCTTCCAAAAAGAAGGTTTAAGTTCTAATAGCCTATGCTAATTTCTTATCTCATATGAAGCCGACATAATACTGTACCAGCACTCATCACGCTGGAGGCTGAGCTGAGCTTCGACTAATATAACCCAAAAGAGGGGCGGTAACATAAGGCGGCGTAGTTAGATGCAGGTAGCTTCTGCCAATTATACAGCCGATCACGATTCTTACCATAGAGTGGCGCTAAAGTATACACCGAGTTCTTACATCTTTATGGGTTTGATTACGGTGGGTGGTCATACCAACATTCCTACTTTATTAATTGGATGCTCAGCCCTAGGGACCAGACTATGGAAAATACCTTAGCTCCACGTGTTGTCTCGTAATATAGATCTTCATTGCATCTAACCCTAAACTGATGGCATCGTGACCTCCTTTAAGGGCCCACACGTACATAGACATGACGTACATAAAGGAGGGTGTTTTCGCCGCTAATTTTATTTGGCACGATGGCTACAACTAGTTATTACCAATAGGATGATTATACCTTAGTTATTCTATAGTAAACTTGTTGCTTACTGGAGTGAAAGTATTGGAAGCTTTTCCTAGCAATGCCTCATGAGTCTTCGCTAAAATATGAATTGAACCACGACTCATTCAACAACCATTATGTCTAAGTTAATATCTACGCAAATAACGCAATTTATTTATCCTTAAATCCCCTAGATGTTCGTTATAAATGGCCAGCCGTTGCTATATTAGTACTGGTTACTGTCTCATAGCTTAGGTATCTAAATTGGTCATCTCGCCTGACACCCGAGATACACTTACGGCGTTGACTTTCCAAATTGCTAGACCCCCTTCGCTTAGACCATTCTTACGAATTGCATCTTGAGTGTAGCGACCTCAACTTGTAGTGATATAAATTTACCCTTTGGTAATAGATGCGCCAACGGAACTTCAATCATTAGCTCAGAACGTTCCAGAAGGGGGTGAATCTTACGAGAGGTAACTTACAGAGCCCCAATCATAAATGTTAATGATGCTAAAAACTTTCTATGAGTGCTCATTTGTAGCCTCCAAACCAACGGTATAGGTGTGATAAGAGTGACGATGTCCGTTGAAATGTCACTTCCCACCATGCCGTAACCGATAGGGATCACACTCCCACAATATTAAGAATACCCCTTTTGGGTAAATACAACCGTTAGGTGTGATCCACATTCTAAGAGGCCGGCAATGATGAAGCCAACGGTCCGGAAAACAATTACTATTATTCAAAGGATAAGAAAAGCGTCGTAATTGAGCCCCGGTGAAAATATACCAGTAGAAAAAACAAACAAAGAGTTTAACAAGACCAGCGCCAGCAACACCTAAGAGGAGGTACGCAAGTTCAATCTTTGAAAATGTTGATATAAACAACAGTTATCAAGGAGAATAAGAAAAAGTAGATGTTTATATGAAAATGAAAGGTGGTTCATTACGTATTTCATTTATCTAACCGTTTCGAAACGACTGATAGGTTTTCTATTGAGCCCCCTATTGGACATCCTAGTGCGTGGACTTTTACACCTGCTCCTCGTTAGTATTAGGTTTAGGAATTTAGGAATCAGTAGTTAATAAAAGAAAGCTAGCATCAGAAAACCAACGCGAGGGATGGGGATGGGAAATTACCATAGATTTCAAGAACTGTTAACGCGGTCCCAAAGACGAATGCCACGAGAATTAACCAATCGCTTATAAGGATATCCTGCCCTTTCCATCTTCTGGCGTAGAACCGTAAACTAACACAAAATGCAGCCATGATTTCGAGGGCAACGGAGCCAGCAATCAACCCATCTGGGTTATCGTACTTAGGATTTCCCATGGTATATAAATGAAGAATGTAGCTTTAGTTGTAGGTTTGGATCAGAGAGAATGAAGTTGTAGAAATATTAGGAGACGCAGGATATTAAAGCCCTAAGTCTATTAACTAATAGGCACGGAATGAACAAAATATCGAAGCAGGACTAAGTTTAATAACCCCAGGACATTAGAATATGCCATAGTGAACCCGTTACACCAACTAGAGACATTGATTCTTCTAAGTTCATCACTTGCGTCTTCGCTGTACCGTGGAGACATTGAAACCCGCACATTAGAGATCATATCGTTAAGCAAGCCTCGCTGCAATTATAAACCACAGAGTCTCACAAATAGGATTTATCAAAAAACATAACAGGTAACCTAGGTTATATGCAGCTACCCGCCCTAGCATTAAGTCAAACACTATCAGCTCACCTATCTAGATGCGACAGCGACTAACTAATGAACACTCGAATCGGATTTTGAATTTCCTGAATGATAATAATAGGTACCTAAGGTAGGGTAATATATCGTGCCATTTTTCTACTTCTACTAAATTAGGGCTTTAAATTCTGCCTATCTAGTAGACAACGTGTGGAAAATCGCACTACACAGAAGTTTCAATAACAATGGGCAAACCGAGCGTGGTCTTAGATCCTTCTATACTCTATATTCGCTTAGAGACGTGTCAGAATGAATGGACCGGTGTGATACTAAACTGCAGAGCTCTTGAATCACACTCCTAGTTTCTCGTTAAGCGTATTTTAAGCGTATTGATATATGCGCATCGCTCAAAGAGATTCTCGAGTTCTGGCTTTCGTTGCCCTTCCTGGAAAGCTGCAGACTCTATCTCTCCAAAATGTACGTCAGCCACAAGGGGAACTTGCATTTTGCCCCTTTCCGAGCTTGAATCAATAGTGTGAGTTTCTTTACGCAAAAAACAAGCCCCTGTACCCAATGGTCCACCAATAAGATGCAAATTAATTCCGGAAACCCCAAGTTCTGGTGTTTTATTTTCAGTTTCGATCTCCTGAAAAGATTCCGGCCATGACCTGAAGCCCTTATCACCTGCGTATGTGGGATTACCGGTGTAAGCAAAATTGATTAAAGACGCGGCTACAGATTTCGACTGCTTCTGATCTGCTTCCGAGACATGGCTCTCAGTAAATAGGCCGTCAAAAATATAATTAGCATCACTGCCGTGAGCCATACCTACATATAGCATTCCAGCAGCCTTGAATAGCAGCGTTAGCATGGTCTAATTTAAGTCGTAGAGGCGAACACCGGAAAACGTAGAGTTTATTGCTACAGATTTCCTGGACATTTCGTATCCAAAGTCAATTGACGGGCATTTGAATAAAATATTACGCAGGATGCGAGAGACACACTTTGCTGGTGCGATATTTTCTTATATTAAGCATATTCCATCGCGCGCTACCCTGGAGGGGGTAGCATGGAGCCTTAAGTATTCGGAATCTTCGCTAATTTAATATATTATATGTACGTATAGCAATATTTTGATTTATGGCTGTAACGGTATGTACGGGATATTGCATAGCCGTTAATACGGCTGTGCAGAATCAAGGAGGTCCGTGCGCGTAATCCACTAATAATACCGAGTAATATCATGTGATTTATGTAATGTAGGTAAAGGTCTTATTTTTAGGACGTGTGGGGTGTGGAGATGACATCCGAAGTTTGTTATACATAAATGAACTGTACCTAAATAACCTCATTTAAAGCAAGGGATATTATGTAATCACTAATCCACCTAATCCACGCGAAAGGCACTTAGATAACAATTTTTGGTGAGTGTATTATATCAATAACACTAAGAGATTCTGGCAGAGAGATTCAATGTATTCGAGGTCTAGTGGTGCACCGTATCAAAATTATTATATATGCAAAAGTATTACATACAATAGTTTTTAACTATCTAGGTACTTAGTTGGTGAATATATAAACAAAAGGAATATGTTGGGATAGCGGTCACGTGACCTCGTCACATGACCAGGGTTATGCCCACACACACCGCCCACGCACAGCCCACGCATCTGTACAATAGATATCTTTCCCCACTCGGGGGAACCCCTCCTCTCTTACCTTAGAACAACCAATCAGAACACGATCGTTATTTGCATTCCTTTTTATATTATTACGTAATACATAGTCAATCCAACAGAATATCAAGAGATTAAGGTACCAATCATAAGACATTCCTAGCTCCAGTCTATTGTTGAGAGACTAGATTTTATTTTATGTAGTTCTCATACTCTTTACGTGGATTCTTCGTATTATTTAGGAGGCTGACATGTAGAAGCATGACATTAGAAACTGGGACTCATTCTGGTAGGCCGGACGCGGGTACGTACCTATATACACTTCTGAATGAAAACTATCATGATAAAAGGAAGCCTTTGGCAGTAATTCTTTATTCGCGAGTTTCTTTAAATTAGGAGGAACTTGACCGATGAATCCAGACCATGGGAGCGAAATATAAGGGTATCCGAGGCCTGACATAGAAATTTTACTAAAGGAATAAAAGGAGGGTGACGGGACGCGACTTGTGTTCTTAGATGCCAATGTTAATTTAATTATCCCTTGTATTGTTGATAGACTATAACGGAAGCTACCTTAAACTGTAATATCATACTCTCAAGGACCTAAAATTTAGTAACCAGACCAATTGGGAGTTGTATAGTATCTCATTTTCTCCTTCGTTGCTGGATTCTTGGGTACATTAGGTAGATTAATGTCTACCTACCTAGGTACCTAGGCAACCGAATTCTAAGGTCTAAGTCTCTGTGTTTACGTCTACAGGTATTTAAGGCTGTTTGGGTCCGATCTTTCCCAGTACTTCTACTATAGGCCGCAACAAATTCATTTACAGCCAATCCCCCAACATACCTCCTAAAAGATTACCAACCATACACTGAAACTATGCTTCGGCATGTACCAGACGAGATTTTACTGATGATCTTCTCGTACTTAATACCATATGATACCAAATCTGTAACCCCCTATATGGCAGGAGAGGGCAGCGAGACTTTGAGAGCTGTGGCCCTTTGCTCGAAATGGTTCCATCGCATTGCAAAGCCTCTCCTATATAAGACAGTATACGTTTGTAATATTTACGAACGTCACTCACTTATCAGGGCGCTCTCGAGGCAACCAGACCTTGGCCGACTTATTCATAACTTGCTATTAGATGAGCACATTGTTGATAGTCGACCACGCCCAATTCTCGACCCCAGCATAGTAAATACTGAGATCGAAAGCCCACAGAGGAAATTTGCCCTACCACCCGTAATAATGAAACGATTGTTGAAGAGCTTCGGCTGTGACTCAGAGGTTGCGTTTCTACTTGTATTTTTACCGAACCTGAGATGTTTGTTTTTGGATCTACCGACCGATACAGGCGTATTGGACATCTTTCAATATGTTATAGGGAAAATTAAGCCTGGGCGTGGGGGACGGCTGGGAGCTCCTGGAAACTTTAGACTTCTATCAGAAGGCCACTTCTCGGAACTGCAAAACATAACACTAGGCAATATTATAGACCCGACTGGTCCTCATTCAAGATGTATAGCACCACGATCATCCGAATGGCCGCAGAAACATGAAAAGAGTCGACGATTGATGTTGCCGATACTCGAGCTTCCAAATCTCATCTCGGTTTCCAATAATCGAGTCTTTTGGGGGAAATCGATGTTAAACTACATCCCTACGGTTTTAGGCCTACGACACCTGGACATTGAAGTGACGTGGCTACGGAGCCCATTTTTAGTACACTTGCTCCTCCAATGCCCCAAGCTCTGTAGTCTCAAATTTTCGACATCCTGGCACGAGCGGGGAGCGGATTTATCCATCCCATTCGAGGAACTGGGTAATTTTCTAAGAGGTAGTATAGATTCTTGCCTTGAGACACTCGTTTTCGAAGATCCTGTATTTCCAATTCGGTACTTCAGTCTATACAAATATACAGGTATGATTGGACCTCTTAAAAGGCTTAGAACTCTGAGGACGCTCCATATTCCTCTATGAATCTTGAGCGTCCTTGGATATGATGAGAAGAACCTAGATGGATGGCTACCAGATTCGATAGAATCTGTTCATATCACCCACCCAATATCATTTCGTGAAGTTCATCACTACGTACATGATCAAGTCATCTACATGATCTCGAATGAGACAAAGCCCAATCTCCGAGAAGTACAGTCTAGTTGTCTCAATAACCCTTACATTATTGCACATTACTTGAGAAATGTTGGGCGGCCCGGCTGGACTGTTCAGTATAGACTACAATTTGACCATCTTCGAGAGGAAATAAAGCCGTGGCCTGCGATACTCGAGGTGATTTTACCCAAAGAATAGACTACTTTAAAACCTATTAGGGTTTATGTCAACCGACATTCGCTCGTACGACTATTTGTCGTATTTATGTAGACGCACTTTATTATTACACCTAAACAAGAGTACCTACCTAGATGATAGAATGTCTTATATTAGACTCATAAATATATGATGAGATTGCCAACCATCTGGATGCTTCATTATCTTAATACTATCAACCAGGTCGCTTAATACACCATGAGGACATACGTTGCTATTGCAGCAACCTTAATCCCCAACCCTTTCCTACGTCTAACGTAGTGTCACTACATATTAGTGCCTCATGTCGGCTTTCTACCTACTCTCTTCCCCTATCACCAAGTGAATATAACAAGGCTATCTATATATTAATTCATCACTTATTCTAGGGCTAGCCCAGTACAAAGGTCTAAAATTAAACTGACTCTTTGTCGATAACATGCGAGAAAATAAGTTGAATCACTCACGTGTAAGAATTAGCAGTTTCCTAACCTAGTCAGTTAAATGAGTCCCCAATACAGCTAACAGTGTTACTATGTAGTACACGACGCAAAAATTCCCATTATCCCAATCCAGTCATATCATCAAGCCCTATAAGTAGTACAGTGAGTAAGGACAATGATTGCTTAGGAATGGGACCTTTCAGAGGCTGCCTTTAGTATTTATAAAGAGTCTACCTCCGGTATCATCATACTAACTCCCCTGAAGATTAGTTAGTCTAACATAAACCAGCCAGTAACAATTTAGATCGACAAAGCATCAAGACTCCAGACGAAAGATGGCCAAATCCAGATCTTCGAGCTCTTCTAGCAGCAGTTCTTCTAGCAGCAACTCATCTGGCCTTAAAAAGTCTCGCACGGAACAAGCAGCGAGCGATGGAGAGCACCAGAACGCACCCAAATATTCGGCTTCTGATGTCGTAGCCCAGCTCTCATCTCTATGGCGCCACATGCGGCGAGATTCCTCGTTCGGGCCCGATGTCAACGATGGGGGCGAGGGAGGTGCCGAGCAGAGCAACGGTATTCTTCGTATGCCCTTGTTTCGAGGCCGCTGGCAGTCTACTAAATCTGCAAAGAAGGTTCCGACCTCGCGAACCCCTAGTTCGGAACCTCTATTGCGGTGCGATACTAATATGCCCGAAGCTCACCAGAGTTATCTGTCAACGGCACCGCGAACTGACGAGGAACAATCATCATCGAAGACTTGCAAGAGACGCTTGCGGAACTGCTGGGGTGCTCTGCTAGTGTACCTACGACTTCGAGACGCATAATATGGTAGTCTGCCTGTCAGTCAGTTTGTCTATAAGAGGAGGTCTGTGCACTAGCTTGACAACTAGGTTAGAAGAGTTTGGTGAGGTCGTATTTGCGACGAGGACATTTCTAATAAATATTAGTTTCATCTATTAATTAATATTAATGCCGTATCAATTGAAGATCTACGTCAAGGATTCCCTCGTAAACCCTGAAACAACCGAATGTTGGAAATGGCACGATAGATATAGTCTATGTATATTCCGGCAGTCCGTGTTCGTTACAGGGGATCGTTTTAGCCAGGGGCTATGTTCGGTAAGTTCCAGAGATCTTTCAGAATGGCATCAATGGCTCCTCCACATTCTGCCCCCAGATTATCTTCGGTTGTTCTAGACTTCACGGAGCATCATTCTCCATTATGAGTATGATCTACAAATCCACCGCAAACGCTTGGCATATTGTCATTTAATCTCCCGGCCCGTCGGGTTGTATCTTGTGACCACGGGACGGAACTAATTACGAGTCCGTAAACATATAAAGCCTCCAGGATGCTCTTCAATCGTTCACGAGAACGTTTTCCGCACAGCTCGACAAAATGATATCCTCAACCTCCTTCTTCACCGGCCTCCTACTTGCCTCATCAGCATCCGCCCATCTCGCCAAGCGTGGTACGGGGGTAATTAAGTGCCCCGTGGTGCTTAGCGGATTCGTGCCGGCGGACATAACACCGACAGATTTCGATTCGTCTGCGACGAGCCCTTTCAACCCCGATTATGTCCGCGGCACCGAGAAGTTCTCAGAGATCCTGCAGTTCCCGGTAGTCGAGGCCTCGCGTTTTGATAACGCCAGCACGAGGGCCGTCGAGGTCACTATCAACGACAACTCCATCTTCCAGAAACAGAATGGTTTCCGCCGTGCCGGTCTCCAGATCCAGGGAGACACGAATGAAGGTAGCCCCGGCACCCAAGGTGTGAAGACTATACACTTCAGTGTCAAGCAAGATGCCGAGAGGACTTTGAACTTGACTCATGAGTACTTGGTACGGGCCCAGTTCTAGAGAAAGCAGTATCCATTTAAGGGAAATGGGTACATGGTTACGAGAGAATAGGGGCAATCCGGCTAATTAAGACATTGAAATTCTAGAACGTCTGGCACGAGAGGGCGGACTTCAGCGCCAACCAATTCAACTTCCAGACCGGTACCCTTATTGGCAAGTCCGACGTCGACAAGAACAACTTCAAGATCCTGGACCGCCAGAACACCGAAGTGTGGTCAACCCCCATCGATCCTATCGCCTGGCAAAACTTTGCCGTTACTCTCGACTTCGTGAGCAAGTAAGTTGATATCTTTCTATGATTAATCCAGCTTTTAAAGCTTTTAAAGTCACCCGGCAACTCGTGCATGGAGATCTGTATGCTGACTTGAATTTCCACCTAGCACCCTTCAGGTGTATTACTCAAAGGACGACGAGCCCCTCCAGGCCGTCACCGAGGTGTTGCAGAACGACAACAGCGGCGAAGGCCAGTACCAGATCGGCATCCTGAAGAAGCCCACAGGTACTTCCGACGTCGTCAACTCTGGCTTCCAGGAGACCGGCATCAACGAGGGCCAAATCTACGGAGGCATCTTCATCGAGGACAGCGCAGATGGCTGTATTTCGTTGTAAGCCTGCGCTTTAAAGACATGTAAAAAAAAAACCATAGGACCCGGGTAGCTGGCAGAATAGCCTTTGATCTTCCAGCACGTATTGTACTAATAAAACTTATGGATATCCTATCCCATCCCATAACTACGCGTCCTCACGAGGTCGGAAAGTGTCGAGGCACAATTAAAAACAGTAACAGTCCCGCAAGTCAAGTAAGCATTAACTACTAGTTAGAGATTATATAAACAGCAGTTTCCAACTTGTAACTATATAACTTCGCAAAGAAAAAACATAAGCTATCGTGTCGGCGTTACAGTCATTACAGCGAGCTTTATATACAAATTGTGCCGCCACCGATCTACCATGATATCCCAAACAATCCAACCCCCTATAACAATATACACACCTACCTCATAGGCAGCCACCCTCAATTTCACGCCAATCATCGCAACGCCGTCATCCCCCGCTTCCGCTTCAGCAAGTGGCGTTCGGCCGGCCTCGTGCCCGTCTCCGCCGGCGACATCTGCTCGGGCGACTTGGTCAAAGCCCCGGCTACGAGCAGAGAGTGGTAGGAACCCCGTCTGGACTGGCTGGGTAGTTTGATTCGGTCGTCGCGCGGGGCCTCCGAGGCTCTGCTTAGACTACCTGGTTGAGATACCTCCGCGTCGAAATCAAACGGGTCGAGGCGGAAAGGGTTTAATAGCCGTAAGGGGGCCGCCAGTTCCTCCGCTTGTTGGCGCGACCATTCGGTTGCGAAGAACGAGTCGGAGGTAGGTCTTGTTCCCCTTGTGTCATGTAGGAATAGCGATTTATTGCTACCGCTACTTTTGCCACTTTTGCTTGGCGCATCAGCTCCAAGGATAGCTGGCGCCCTACGCATCTCTGCCAAGGACCGTTGCTGCTGCCGAATTCTCCGCATCCTTTCCTCTACTTTTTCTATGTACTGCAACGAATGCGTCGCATCATCGTTGTCGACAGTATCTTTATTCTTGTCACCCCCCGTATCTACTTCGTCTTCGTCCTCGGAGGCTCCTAACATACTATTTATATTGTGCAATTCCAGCGCAAACGGCACGGCAGTGTTCGGCGGCTCCCAAGGGATGGTGGGAGAAGTGGGAGTAGGAGTAGGAGTCGCCAGCGGTGAGGGTGGCGCTGCGGGCGTTGCCCTCGACGCGGGCACATAATCAGTAGATTTCTTCACTACGCTATGCACTATGAAGCTAGATTCCGGCTCAATGCCTGCCCGTCGTAAGTTTAGATGTAGGCCTTTACTAAATTGGTGAGACGCACGTTCTCTAAACGACAGCTGTTCCTGCTGCGGGTGGTCTGATATCCAAGACCCGCGCGAGGGGCTCGGCGGACGGGTAAGCTTTTGGGTAGATGTAACAGAAGGGCAATAAGAAGAACATGTAGTAGACGTAGAAGACGAAGCCCGGGCACGCGACATGCGTCGGCCTCGACTGACAGTTGAAGTTATGGATGAAGGGCGACTAATAGATTCCGGAGCGTACGTGCTGGTTAGATTGATGTGAGATTCTTGTATCGGTCCTGGGCTATAATCATCATAGCTAGCATTCCGGTAGTACTGAACTAATTGTTCGGTGATGTGTAAGGGTTGAACATCATTTCGTATAGCTGGGTCTGTAGTTTGAGGGGTGGGCGGGTATATATCGCCACCAAGTTCGCTACGGACATCATCGTTCTTAGCACTTTGCCTCATGGGTGTCCCATGGACTTCTCCTAATGACGGCCTTCGTTGGCTACCGCTCTGGTTGATAGGACCATACCTGGTTTGGGCCCCCTTCCGCTGCTTTGGGGGTGTTGAATGCGGCCGATACTCGGACTGAGTGAGATTTGTATTATTGCTGATATCTATTTCCGACTTGCGTGAAGCCAGCACATAGGATGGCTTTTGCGGTTGCCAGATAATAGAGCTCCCGCGTACCTCTTTATCTTCTATTACATCTTGCCTGCTCGCCTTGTTCAAAGTAGGGGCGGGCGAGACCGAACGCGAGGTAGGGGGGTAAGTCCGGGCTTGCCTGGGGTCATTCCTTTTCTTCTTCTGATGCGAATCTGCCATCTTGCGAGAGTTTCGTGTTAAAGCATCATAAGCAAGAGCCCGGTGGTATGAGAGAGTCCGTAGCTCCTCATCCAACTCGTCATTCTCACGCGGCTTATTAGTGAGATCGACGTTCGTAGGAGCCATATTAGCTATATCGCCGGCGATGAGACGCTGGCTACCGATAACAAGCTTAGTATGGATAGGGTACAGGTCGCTAGTAGCGTCCTACCTGTTTATCTACAATGTAAAGGACACGGATACGAGGGAATTTAGTATGATGAATAATATGTCATGGATCCAAGTCAACCCGGGCGTAATATGACAGTCATGAGAGGGCGTTGCTTTCACGAGCGGGCGAGCATTGGAAAGGGAAGGGCTACTGGTTGAATGATGTAGATAGGGATGTTGTTATTCAACAACTAATAGGAACGACTACGGTTGTTAAATATAGTACATGGAAAATCAACGACCAGCAATAACTGATGGTTGGAGACAAAGACCAAATCCCTAACAATGAAATTGTTTTCAGGTCCTTGGAAAAGACATTGCTGTTATTTCCTTTGGTTAGTAGGAATGTCCGTGATCTCGCGCGAGCGAACAAAGGTGAATAATCGCAGACAAAAGGATTGTGCAATGTGAGCGGCAAAGGTCCAGATGCTACGAGTTTTGCTAGATTAAGGAGGTCTCACTTGATCGTCGAGCTTCTAATGGCAGAGAAGCGGGAATCTAATCGAACTCCCACATTCATTATCTATGCTATTTCTACCATGGTAATTATCGTAAGCTTATGTACAGCATAATATCATATTTATGAGCTAAATGCAGTCATTCTGGTGTTTTGAATCGCCCCTTTCGCAACTGCTATGCAATATAATGCGACTTCAGGGGCTACGGCTTATCTTCCCAAATAGAAAAGGGGTTTGCCGTTTACCCTGATCTAAACCCAGGGAACTATTCTCGTATCCACAATATCCGTAACGCCGACGTCCCATCGAACTCCAAGCTGCGGAATAATTGTGGTCGAGACGCGGTGCCCATTCGAGGGAACACGAATCTGCTAAGCTCGTAAAGATTATATACAACGTCACTGCGCGCACTTTTGCGAGTGTCTTCTGGCTAAGGACTTGATTAATCTTCCTTATAAGACCACTGCGCTATTGAGCCCTCTGGCGCCAATCTCTGGGGAATGAGATTTATAAGTCACTAGGCTACATATTGGTAGGCCGGAGAGCCATCGGCTAACTCTGCTCGATCAAGGTATTCGCGGGTTATTAATGCTTCAATTCGACGCTTAATAAGCGGGATATCTGGCTTGAACCGGCTGGCCAGGACCTGGATAACTTCTGTAATGAGCTGGGAATGGCCAAGCTCCTTACGTTGCCTTGTTAGGTAGGTAGGTTAGTTATATTCCCCATTCTATGTATTCACGTTGGACTTACTTCATTATACGGACGACAGCAGCATCAGTGACATACATTCTTGTCTCTTCATTTTTCTGGTCTGTCTCCTTGCGTTCTTCGTCGTTTTCTACCCTATTAGCAGCATTTACCGAAGGCACCTTAATCTTGATTGCCTTGCTAGTGAACTCGCGATTGAATGTAAATCTATCGCCAGGTTTAGCCGCTGCTTTTGTCTGCGACTCCTTTAGGAGAATGCGGTATGCTTTAATCACCGACAGTGATGTCAACACATTAATTAAATCAGACTGTGGGATGTTCGTTTCTTCTTGGATACGCTCAAACGATAGCCACTCGTCTTCGGCGACGTCGTTAAAAAGCATGAGCACAATCATACCATATGTTGACACGTTGAGTTCGTAGCGACGCTCTTTGCTGAGGGGTCCAGAGGCCTTGCCAGGAATCTTTGGAAATACGCATTTAATATCCGCACTCCCTGCGCTTGCGACCCAAGTGAGAACGCGACCGTTACGGTTTAGACTGTAGAACTTAAAGAAACTATCTTGAAGTCCCTGGATCTCACGTGGATAGATGATCTTGCCTCTGGACCCATCTGCGAGGCCAGTGCGACCCATGATTTCCTTGGGCCAATTGTTGCCGGCAAGAACACTGATGTTGAACTCGATATGTTTCTCATCCACATCGCCAAGGCCGCGGATATGATCGCGATAATTCTCTGTCTCCTCTTTAGAGGTACGCATATCTCTAAACATACCCTCAAATTTCTGTGTGAAATTATTACCTAGCTCTCGCTTCATGCGTGAAATCATCTCTTGCTCGACCTCTTGACTTTCGGATTTGGCATGTAATAATCGACGGGCTAGATGTTTTTGGTAATACTGCTCGAACTTGTCCTTCTCGCCGAGATATCGAAGCAGAGTTATCGCCTTGTCGAGGACAATATCAACTTCAGCCTCAGTCTTGCCTTTAATACCTCGTTTGAGATTGTCATCAATAAAAAGCGAGACATATTCCGAACTTCTATTGAATGCGTTGATGAAGTCGGCGAAGCTCTTCGTTAATGCCGTCTGTAAGATGAGATCCTCTTCGAAACATGTTCTCCAGTATCCATCATACTTATCTTTGAGCACCAAGACATCATCAACCCATTTGATAGCGGCTGCAGTTTGCTGCGCTGCAGCATTCAACGTCTTCGGTTTGGACTTTTCTGCGCCATCTGCTGGCTCCTCTGCATCTGCTTGTTGCGCTATGCTGAAATCGGTATTCTTGAGTGTCTGCTCTATTTCGGTACCTTGTTCGATAACCCGGATAGAAAGAGCCTTGCGCAAGACCGCCTTTTTCGGATCGACACGCGATATGAGCTGGTAAAGAATGCTAAGATCCTCGAGCCTGTCGTTGTCAAGCATCGCATTGATACCACTTCCTTCTATACCAAGGAATTCATCCATATGTTTGACAATTAATTCCTGTTCGACTACTTGCGTGATCTTCTGTAGAGATAATGGAGAAACCGTGGTCTGACATCGTTCGGCCTCTTCAGCGAGACGTCTCTGAGTATATCTAAGCCACGCGCTGGCATCGCCCTCACGAAGAAGCTTTTCGCACTCGGTCCGGTAGAAGGCCTCACTGCTGTTGATGTAGGTGGGGTGGAAGGTAGTCACATAAAGCTGCTCATTGTCATTTTCTTCGTCCGTTTCGAAGAGAGCCTCAAACATCGAAACACAACTATGAAGCAACGCCTTATCAATAACATCACCCTCTCTTTCCATGTTGATCTGGTCAATGATAGTGGCATTAAGAATATCGAATATAGGGTAGTCAACCCCGTTCTGTTTGAGGGTTGACTTGAGGATATGATCGCGAAACAGACCGATGGTTGTGGTATAAATCGAGGGTCTGCTATGATCCTGAACATAACCGCGTTCAAGGTACATAAGGACATCGGCAATCATGTTCATCGAAAAGTTGTGGTTTTCCCACGAGGTGCGAATCCCCTTTATAAACTTCTCACCCATAGCACGTCGTTCCACTACGCTTGTTCCGGTGACTTCTTCGAGCGTAACGCTAATGAAGTTGCTGGTAATGAGACTCCGTATAGGAGGTATCACCTCGTCCGCAAACCATTGTTCTTCGAATTCCTTGACCCTATCATAAAGCTTATGGCCTGCCTTTTTAAGCACAATCTTATACGAATATCGGTAGAGTTGTTCGAAGGAAAGCTTGCCAGCATTACGCAGATGTATATCGCGCAAGGCTTGGCGGAGCTTCTCCCAGCACTGTTCAAATTCGTCGGTATTACTAGACTGGTTCGTAGGCTATAACGAAATCATTAGAATATTACTAGATGACAATGCAATGCAGAGGCGGGGGGTAGAGAGGAAGGCTAGGGAGATCGAGCATAGGTAGAAGGTAGAAAGATAGGCCAAGGAGGCTTTGCGCAATATTCAAGAGACAGCACGAACCGACGGAGTGGTTTCATGGATCATCAGGAACCACGAGAACTCGTCCAGAGGGCTAGAGACTTGAACGATACTCTCAGAACTGTATCGAGAAGAAGACTCAGGTTAAAGGGGATATGGGTTCGGAAGACACGACTTACCCTTCGAGGAGGCCGAATACGGCCACCTCGCATCATGGAACCTCCTCGGCCACTAATCATTTTTCATAGTCTCGTGTCTATCAAGTTATAATCTGTTGAGTGTTGCGTGTTGCGTGTTGCGCATGTGAAATATGGCAAGGCTAGGTATAACGAAGTAAGGCTGGATGTGGATGCAGGTGGGAAGTATTAATGCGAGACTCATTAATGGAATGCAGCGAACTAGTGATGCATCTCTGCTAAGCGAAATAACTTGAAAGAGTTCATGCTAAATTATAAAAGATGCTCAAGCAATACAACATTGGAAATGGAAAATGGGAAAATGGAGAATGGAGAATGGAAAAAGAAGTAAAAAGTAAGAAGTCTAAGAAGTCGCCACACGGTTACGGTTGTTAACGTTATAGTTGCTACCGTGTATAACGGCAACTATCAAAGTTGTTTCACTGCTCCGCTTGCATTTCGGCGTTGTATAGAAGAAGCTCCTTCTAGTTGCTACGGAAGGAATTGGGTTAAGTATTCAACACGACGTGCTTTCGTACTTTCGTGCTTTAATGTTTGGTACTTGGTCCACGCGCCACAAGACGTGGGATATCGCTTGGGTTGTATGTAACCTTAATTGCCCCTCGATTTCGGCCAGGAATATCTTAGTTACCGCCCTACCGCCCTACCGCCTAGGCTGTAATCTTATCGATAGACTTATTGGCCCTTGCATATGCCTTATCGGATTATCTAATAATAAAAACTTATTACGTAGGTAGCCGACACCCATACGTAATTGGTTTAATACATCTGTTAATAACATCCGTTAACAAAGTTCGTATTTGATATTTTATATCTATTCCAACCGCATCGCAATATGGCTTCCAGATCAAAATCCCGCTTATTATTTAATTCAACTCTCCGCTCCCTAGGAGCTGTCTCCCCCTCCGTCCTCAATCTCCGTCCCCGCATATCACTGAACTCACCAATTGCCTATCGGTTTGCTCATGCCATACCTAGACCACCTACCTCGAGACCTTCGACCTCGGCATCGACCGTTAGGAAGCATTATCCGCCAAAGCGTATCGATCCTCACTATGAACTAACATTTACTTGCGTACCTTGCGGCGACCGCTCCACACATGAAATATCGAAACAGGGCTACCATCATGGATCGGTACTCATCACCTGCCCATCTTGTCGCAATCGCCACGTCATCAGCGACCACTTGAAGATCTTCGGCGATCGCAAGATGACTATCGAAGATCTTATGAAAGAGAGGGGCCAACTAGTGAAGAGAGGTACTCTTGGCGAGACCGGCGATGTTGAATTCTGGGAAGACGAGACCGTAAGCAATCGAAAGCGAAAGCGAAATATTGCTGCCGCTAGGAACAGCGTCGAAGAGGATTCCGCGGAAAACGAGCAGGACGACGATTTAGACGAGGCTTCGCTCTCGCGAGAGGCGAGGGATTCCTCATCACAATCTACAGATCCGACACCTACAACCTCGGCGTTGTTGGGGAACACGGGCGCTGGCCCGTCAGTAGACAGCACTCAGCACGCCAATGAAGTCCCATCAACACGACGCCAATAGCCGATAGCAGCACAGCTAAATAGCTACAACTTTTAAACTGAGTCACGATCATAGATAAAGCCCACTATGGAATCGAGCTATGAGAGAATCGCGAGATAAGTGGATAAAATACCCGTCACTTCGCACAGCGTCGATGCCAATTCAAGTGGAAATCAGCGAATACCCGAAGCGCGACCTTTCCACTACTATCGCCGTATAACTCGAGCGCAACCAGCCGAACGAATGAAGCGCTAGCTATCATTAATGATATGCTACCAAATTTGCGGAATGGTCTCCAAAGGCTCTTTTATTGCATGTGATGTTCTCGAGGCCAGTTCAAGATAGGAACTCATATCCCTAACTCGTTAGAGTTGATGTTTAGCGCCCATGAGATGAGGAATTGATTTCCTACTTATCGATTCCATCCCATATATTGACTTGCGAACATGTCTTCTCATACGAAGGCCCGTTCCAGAGTGGTCATAGCTATCCGGAGGCAAGAGGAGCGCCCATGAATCTCGAATACTATTACGAGCAAATGATAGCACCTAAAAACAACTAGCAAGCCTAGAGGACCCAGAATTTATCGCGCTATCGAGGAAGGATTATCACCAGACGTCAAAATTGAGGCTCGAGGAACTTGTTAACAATATCGAGTATCTGGTACATTCCCTTGGCGTTCTGTATATACACCCCACTCATGTATTATACTATATCCCCTCTACTATACCGATTATCAAAGATGTTAATAATAGTGCGATACCTATTACCTTCTTTATAGTGAAGTAGCAGTGTACCGCGGGTCAGGTCCTAGGCTAAAAGCGATAATCTACTTCGTACCTCTTAGAAAAAGAAAATCGAAGTTCAAATAACTACCAACTTTAGAAGTAGTGAAAACCTATGGAAGCCCCATGACGTTCATAATAAAAGAACAGTTAATATCATTTCACATTCCTGCATATACGAAATTAAATTAAATTATCCCATTTCCCTATTTTAAACGTGCCTCACTAACACCAGCCACGCTTTAAGCATGGCATAACAAATAAACACACACCACCCAATAGCTCCCCTAATACTCTCTCCGACGATTCCGGTTCTCCAACCCTCTCTCCTTCTTGCGCTTGACTTTCTTGTCCAGACGGCCCTTCTTCCACTGGCCGAAGCGCTCAGGCTGCGTCACAGCCTCGATCTTCCTCTTCTTCGATCTGCTCTCGCGACGGTTTCTAGCGCGGTCCCGCACGGCCAGCAGTTCCTTCGTGTACTCGGCAGTGCCGAACTTCTTCTGTAGAACCTCCATAGTTTCCTCCGCCTTCGTCTTCAGCCCCTCGTATCGCGTCTTGAAGACCTCGTTAAGCGAGAAGGGTGTTGGGATTGAGGGATCGGTGAGATGGTGTAATGGTGTGAGTAGGATGTTGAGCGAGGGTCGCAAGGATGTTTCAGGCAACGTCGATGTCAAGATGGATATTATATCCAGTGCCGCGACTTTAGGGATAAGGGCATCGGCTTTAGGTGGCGTCTCTTCAACGAGAATTTCAGACAACCAGACAAATAACGTATGGAGAGTGATGTTATAAGCCTTCTCCTTTTCGCCATCATCAAAACCACCCCATTCATCTTCGCTGTCTTTAGAGCTGCCTGCGTCGTTGTCGGAAGATTCAGAATCTACCGAATCAATATCTAAGAATTTGCTCAGCATCAGAATGACACGGCTGAAATCGGCAGCTAGAGCCTCGTCTAGTTCTACTGGGTTCTCAATAAAACTTTTCCCGTCATTATCGCCGAAAGATGCAGAACTATTTTTCTTTTGCAATCTCCTTTTCCATCTCCTTAAAGTTGCTGGGCTAAGAACGCCTACGGCATAGAGCGTCAGTTGTCCGACTATATGCGGCTGTAACCGAAGACCGTAAGATCCAAGAATAGCCTGGTTATTGACAGCGTTCTTATTATTGTCGTAGAAATCAGTCAGGTATATTCGTAGTAACCGTACGCTTGAGACTTTAACAGTGGGGTCCGGATGTGAGAGTGGATTTGAGATAGACTGCCACAGTCTCTCGTGTGCCAATGTTACTGCTGGGTGCTTCTCTATAAGGATTGGTATTGTCCGTAGAATTGTGTTAATCAAATCAGAATCGTTTGCAAAAGTTGAATAGTCGCCCAAAACATTAGCTGACGTCTCAAGCAAGAGGTCCAAGTCTTTACGATCCCTAGACGCAGGTTCCCTGCCTTCGAAATATAACGTAAACGCTCGGACCGCTAATTGTAAGACCGAAGAGTTGTCATCTTGCTCTATCCAAGCCCGCATGAGCGACAGAAATTTCGATGCTCGCTCTTTATCTGCCTTTCGAAAGATCTCTTTGAGCAATTCGCCGGCTGCTAATTGACACTTTTCGCTGTCGTCGTTGACCAAGACGAAAACCAGAGGGATGAAACAAGTTGTTGCAATTTCCTGCACGAAGTCATCGGCAGATTTCATCAACAAAAGATGAACAATTTCCATGACAGAGAGACGGCCACCTTCCCTCTCATATTTCAGATTTGCCACGATAAAGCTAAGCTGCTTAGCCCATCTGTTCTTCTTCTGAGGGTAGTCTCGAAGGAACTGGAAGAATGCGCCCCGAGCTAGGTCTCGTGTGTCTTTGTCGTCATTCGTGATCATGATACCTCCGACATAGTCCAATGTATCATAAACAGTAGCAGTCTCAACCTTCCTATCAAGAACTGATCGCAGGAAGTTAAATGTGACATGACGATAAAGAGGTTCCGTTAGGTCATCCTTGACTTTCCCGAGGAGCATATCAACGGCTGCGTCTTTGATAGCAACATCACGGCGGTCTCTGATGATGACAGACATAAGTTTAAGTGCACTTTGCGCGAGATCTGTTGCAGTCGAAATAGATGCCGAGATACATTTCGAAGCCTCTTTCGAAGCTACTTTGTAGAGCTTTGTTGAATCATCGGTCTTGAACGGAACTTTAACAAGAACGGTCAGGAGTTTAAAAGTTGCTATCTTAACTTCCTCTTCGCCTCCAACGAGAGCATCACCCAAGATTGGTATGAACCCTGTAATGTTGACTGCGTTACGGATATCATCGTACTTTTTTAGTACAGATCGCAGAACATCAACGGCAAATCTAACCAGTTTGTATGTATACTTGCTAGTTGTACTGCGATCGCCACTTTTGTTGGCGCCTTTCTGGATAAGATAACGCCTAAGTTTCGGGTCGAGTCTTGACTCTGAGCGCGGCTTGTGGCTTTCATATACCTGCTGAATGACCTCATAGCAAAAAACTAAGGTATCCCGGCTATCAGCGGCAGAATTACCCAGCAAGCCAGAAGTTATCCTCGACAATAGGTCGTCAATTTTTCGTACCATACGGAGGTTGAGTTTCTCAAGTAATAGAGACTGAAGAGGCCGAACAAGGTCAACCAGGTGGCTAATAGAAGCAGTTCGTGCAATAAGTTCCATCGAATCCTGGCTCTTGCTGCTCTTGATCTCTTTCATTTGGCTAATATATTCTTCTGCGTCTTTCTCTTGTCCTACGACACCAAATATGTCGTCCATTATCACGCTAACAATTTTATCGAGGCAATAATCAAGATCTCCCGCCCGGAATTGGGGTGTGACATGAACTAGGATGGTATGCATTGTATATGACAGGACGTGTAGTTGGTATCCCTTCGTGAGAGCACCTCTAAGCTCGTTAAGGACAAATCCAAAATAAGATGGCCCAAGAAGCGAGGTCATGGTCGCAAGTGTACTCCGTGCCATCTCTCTTGAATCCCAAGCCTTGCTGCGCAGGATATGGCAAATATCCGTAAGGACTCCAGGCAGCTTTTGGTTCAGCGACTCGCTTGGTAACACTTTCAAGATCTTTACGATGATGATGCCAACAGGAACACGCGAACTAACTGTAGTTTCATCTTTCTCGTGAATGTACTCCAGAAGAGGTGGTAGGATATTGGTCAAGATGTCTTCGTTCAGCTTCTCCTGCGCTGGCATTGTGGCTGCCAATTTAGATTTCCTCGATAGCTCTACGATAGGAATAGAATCAACTTCCATCACATCTTGACGTTTTTCTGCTGCCACCATCGCGAGGGTGTCCACGAATTTACCGAGAAGCCTGATCAACTGTTTCTGGAGTTCCGGTTTCGACTCGATATAGCTGATATATCTGCGGAGGACGGCTCGATACTGTGGCCATTCTAGAGACGAGGCTATATCAGCAATTGTTGTTGCAGCCTGAGCTCCCACACCATGGTCGTCACTCCCCTCCTCTCGGTCGAAAATAAAATGTTCGAGGAGAGGTACGAAGAAGTGAGTTAAGTGTTTGCTATTCAAAGACGTATGCAGGCTAGCTTTGGTTAATAGCTGTAGTGCTCGCATCTGACGTGCTGCTGCAGGACTGAGGATATTGTTAAAGAAGCTTGGGTCCGGGTCACCCTCGTCTGGCTCGGGGTTGATTGCCACAAGGTCAGCAATTGGAGACCAAGAAGGCATCCGTGATACCAAAACTCCAAATACCTTCACAGTCTCTCTTCTCACAGTTTCTGATGATTCCCGCGCATTAGAGTATAGAGATGGCATCAAGACATTTGACAGCATATCATAGAATTTAGCCTGCTCTTCACCCTTCGAACACGCAACGGTTTCTATAAATTTGCACAGGCCATCAGCAGAGTTCGCAGACAGAATCCCATACTCCTCGTCGTGCTTTATATAAAAGGTCATGTTGTGTATTAACGGCTCCCAATCTCGTGGAGTGTAGGGTATATCTCTTGCGCGCAGAATAGCATTAAAAGCTGCCAGTCGTTTTTCGTAATCTGGTTCATCGACACGGCTGCTGTCATAAGAATTCAGATCTGCACAAAGTGAAGATAATTCAAGACATAACGGGTCATCTGGGTATAATACTGCCAATACACTTGACAACGCTTGTCGGTTGGTACGGTCCTTGAAGAACCCAAAGAGAGATGCTATTGTCGAATAGATCTGGTCTTTCAACTCTGCGCGAAGATCCGCTCCTGCGAGCTTGATGAAATTTTCCAGCATTGCAAGGACCAGTCCCTTGGCTTTAGGATTAACACGTCGTGAGGGTTGATTAAGAAGAGAAACTGAAATGTCAATGAGATTCGTGACATGAGCCGACTTTTGAATAACTGGAGATAACTCTACTACACACTCAACACATGCCATGAGTAGATCCCGGCTCACTTCCCCTTTAGATGTCAGGGCCACGCCGATACTTTCCAATATAGCATTGACATTAGGGTCTAGAATTTCTTCTCGTATCAGCTCATTGAATTCGGATTCTATAGCCGGCTGCTGAGAAATTCCGACCAGGCTGCGTACAATGCTCAATGCAAAAATCTTGACTTCGTCCTTGGTTTTCTCAAGTTTGAGACATTCCATTAACTTTCCAATGATGCGTTTGTCAGTGGAGAGAAATAAAGCCGTCTTCGGAAGTTGTGATAATGTCGCAATAAATTGAAGGGTTCCGGATACACCTTGAGTTGTTTCCGTTGGAAGCTTCTCCAGACGCGGGCTTACAACCTCTTTAATGAACACATCCTTATAAGGTGTCCAGTCGAAACCAGAGGCATTCCGAAGTAATGCAATCAGACACTTGAGGGATGTTCCCTTGACAACTCGAAGAAGGGAGCTTTGTGCGGGTAGATCTTCTTCTATGTCCTCATTATTCTGGTTTAACCTTCGCGAGGAGAGTATGAGGCAATAGAGTACTGCATTGAGGATCTTATTGGCAAAGGAGACAACACCAGTGCCCATCTCGTTAATTATGGCTTCCATCATATTAAGAAATCCAACCTGCTTTCGCACGGTCAACACTTCGTCATCAAAGATGTTTTCGCGCAGCTGAGTATCCTCGAGAACGCTAATCCCACGAAGATCACCAAGAGCAATATCAAGGAATTCCCCCATGTCTTCAATACTTAGCTGTCTTAAAACAGCCAGTCTAGTAGCATGAAGACCATGACGTCCACTTGCAGTTCCCTTCTTTGAAATTGACCTTCCATAGAGAAGTCTGAGTAGTACAGGCATGAGCTCGGAGCGGTGTTCCAGTCGAATCTGCTGTTCGCCTTGAAACAACACAGTCAGCTCGTTTTTAAATCTGGCTTCGTCAAGAAGATATTCTAGATTTTCTTGGTAAGGCTTAACTCCCTCCTGCTTCCAAGTTAAGATGGCTTTGAGAGCAGACTTCTGGACTTCTACGTCACCATTGGCAAGTAGACCTAGAAGCACATCGTAAACCTGTTGGCTTTGGTACAACACCTTGGGGTTTGAGAATTGACCAAATACACCCAAAAGAGCTTTCTTGTCAAAGAGGGACCAGGATCCGCCAGAAAGCTGCTCGGGTGGTTTGATTTCGTTGTCATCTTGCTCCTCGGTATCTCTTGTCCACGACAGTAAGTAAGGCACTAATTTGCGAGATCTTTTCTCTACTATACCGGGCGTAGCCGAGAAGACTTTGAGTGCTTGAGACCTTGCGTTAGCAGGCATGGCGGACACCAAACTCTGGCTAACTTCGAAATGTTCTGACATGATTTCGGAATAGCATTTTAATACGCGCTCTGCTTCTTCAGCTTTTCTGTGCAAACTCGACAGGTTCCAGCACTCGAAATCTGTGAGGCCAGTATTTGATGAAGCTATAGCTTCCTTCTGCGAACCCTCCCATCGCTTGGATGGTGATTCTATCCAGTCGAACGCAATATCGCATATAACTTCCTCTCCGGACTTTACTTCGCCAATCTGCTGCAATGCTTCCACCGCGGAATCCCAAATTGGAGTCAACCGCACTGTCATCTGTCCAAAGAGAAATTTTGGGATTGCTTGTCGGAGCCACGAGTCCTTACTGAGCTGGGGATAAGTTGCTGCCAGCTTCCGTATGTGAACAGAAATAAGACGAGTATTTTGAAATTCTAGGGGCGTTTGTTCTGTCTGGATCATGGTTGCCAAAGAGTCCAACTCATCCGAAGCCGCGTCGAGACGGCTAAGCAACTGCAAAGATGCTAACCGATGTCGATGCGATGGACTAGGTAAGTTTTCAATGAGACTTTTCATGAAAGGGTCCTCATCACTTTCGCTATTGGAACTACTCTCACTTTGAGATGGGGAGCTCTTCTTGTGATTAAGTTGGTCCTCGTAAGTAATCATTGCTTCTAGAAATCCAGTGAGTCGCCGGTACCGGGGAGTAGCTGCTTTGAGCAAGGGTTCTAGAGAACTATCAATCTCCCCGGTGGCTTTGCTCATTCGCAGATACGCAGAAAATCCCTGGCTAACGATGAAGTGGGCTTCCTCACTCGCTAAAGACTGAGAGGGCTTCAGCGCAAGCTTGAGTTTCCTCAACAACAGCTCTGCGATGGGACCATTCGTAGAAGGCCGAACCGTGGTTGCCTCCAGGACATGAAGAAGACCCAAGTATTTAGGTAAGCATTTATCCCGCCATGTTTTCGGGTCTTTGTCGTATCCACTCGAATTCCCTTGCTCGGGGAACGGGGAAATCTCCAGACGTTCGAACTTGGTAACAATCTGATCCTGCCAGGATTGCGGGAGAGAAAAGCTCTCAGGTTCTGTGACCGAAGGCAGGGCACGAGATTCTACCATCCGCGGTAGAAATATGCACAACATTTCCTCATTAGAACCCTCAGACCAATGCGTCACAATAAATCTATCCTGGATATTAGCAACTGAATATGGCAGGGAACTGTAGATGACTTACTTTTGAAATTGTTTCAGTAAAAGGCTACGGAATTTAGTAGAATCGAGATCGGAGAAATAGGAACAAAATGGTATGAACCATCTCATCAGAGGCTCCCGAGTCATAACGATCGCGAAATCGGTAATACATGGAATGATGGAGTCCATCTTGGCCTGTTGCCAAACGATAGCTATATTGACCATGAGCTGCTGCCATATAGCAGATGAGTCGATATCCTCAAGGCTATTTGGGGCTTTCGAGAGAGCCTTGAGGGATTCCAATAAGCAGTTGAGAACCGTCGACCAATCTCTAATGCGACTACCTTTTCGAACACCGCATATAGTTCCCATGATCCTAACATATAGACAATTGCGTAACGGGTAACTAGCACAACTGTCGTCTTCAGCTGCAATATCTGCTACGAGTTGTGGAATAGGCTTAAACGTTTCAGCAGTCGTATGATGAACAGTACTAACAAGTACACCAGAAACAAGATCAGTCCATGTTACCGGATCTGAAGAAATACATTCGTTATTGGGAACAGATTTTATGAGCGATTTGATGATCTCGGGCCCGCTCGTATGGATAGCATATCCTTGGCCTTTAATAGCCTCAGCAAACATAGTCATAAGTCCATGATGATATAGTCCGAATTGCCGACTATCCCTACTACCTTCGAGATCTAATCTAGCGTGTTCGATTAGTAGGGGCAAGGCTTTGTCTCGATTTGCAGGCGCGGCAGCTTTCTTGACGAGGAAGCTTAACGCTTCGGCGGCGAATCGAGCAATATGGGGAGGATTTCGAGCTTTGCCCAGTAGTGGCGCCAAGGCGTCGAAAGTTGGTCGGATATCTGGTACTAAGAGCTTCGACAGATACTTGAAGAGAAAAGCTAAGCAGCCAAAGGTCCATTCTGTAACTGCAGCATCTTGGTGTCGGCTCGCGATCCCAGTGATTAGGGACAAAGCAGTCGGGTAGTGCTTCTCAAAACGAGTACCCAGATCGTGTGCCAATGCCGTAAGTAGATCTAGGAGAGGTTCTAGGGACTCCGGATCATGCATTGATATGTATTTTACCAATAACTCCATGATCTTATCCTCGAAATGTAGAATCTGAGGCAGGCTGTCGCAGAAGGGCCGCACCTCTCGCCGGAAGAAAGTAAAAGCCTTGGATATATTGATATCGGCCCATTTCTCCATACCATTTCGGAAGTAGGAAGTAGTTGCTTCGAGGTCTTCGGTTTCGAGGTCATGTCGTCGTACTCTTCGGAGAGGATCGAGAGAATGTAGCTTGGAGATCTTTGTAGTGAAAGACTCCCATCGATGATTCTTTTGGTGAGGAGTCCCTCCCCCCTTTCGGGAGGACTTTACTATACGTCCTGACTGCGTCGAGCGCATCTTGGCTACCATTCCCCGTTGAGTATAGAAAGGAAAAAGGTGCTTGCCGCTCTTGCAATTGGTTTGGATGGTTAGGTAGAACCTAGGTATTCTTGCCCCACTGCAAGTCGCATCGCGAAAGAAAACGCAACAACCTTGGAACTTTTTTTATTTTTTGGAGAGACGCTACGATAACACGATAAGGAGATAAGATATTTTAATGGCCTTATCGATAAATCTTATCGTTGCTTCGACGTAACCTTCTGCATGTGCCTTACCTTGCAGGTGCTTACCGACCTCTAATTCTTAGCTGCGTTTATGCAAACTACCTAAGGTTAACTTGATCCCTTCATCGCATCAAGCAAGCCAATTAGAGGTCGCGATTCAGACAGCTTCCAACCCAACCCGGCTTGCCTATGTCAACTTATATGCCATCATGGCAGCTAAAATGTAAGTAGACTACCTAATTCCAGTAATTGTGAATAAGCTGATATCTAACATACCTTATAAGTATTGTCCTAGGCAGCATCAATGGCAAGTTTGAGTCTGTCTTCCAAAAGCTCGCGACTTTACACCAAAAACAGAGCTTCTCCTTCGCCATCATTACGGGCAACCTTTTCAGCGCCGACCAAGATGACGATACTATTTCGCGACTTCTTAGCGGCGAGATTCAAGTCCCTCTCTCGACCTATTTTACCATAGGAACGACTCCGTTACCTAGCCAAGTCGTTGAGCGCGTCGAGAAAGGTGAAGATGTACGTTCGCAGTGCCTCATCCCTCCTTTCAAATCACACAACCTTATGATTCCAATAGAACTAACTAAGCTCATATATCCAGGTCTGCGAGAATCTTCATTTCCTCGGCAAGAGGAGTATTACTAAAACGTCAGACGGAATTCGAATCGTGGCTTTAGGTGGCATCCTCGACAATACCATCATCGGCGGCCAGTCTAAGGAACAGCATCTTCCTCTACACACCGCCGACGATGCCAAAGTATTACGTGGCGCAAATGCTACTGATATACTGCTTACAGCCTGCTGGCCGTCCAAAGTGTGGACAAACTCGGGCAAGGCTTTGACGCCTGAAGAGCAATCCTCCATCGCAAGCACCGATGAAATCGCCGGTCTATGTGCTACTCTTAAACCGCGTTATCATTTCTCAATGTCGCCTGCCGACTTCTTTTACGAGCGTGAGCCTTTCTTCCACCCACCAAGTAGCCCCGACTCGGACCAAAAGCCTATCACGCGATTCATCTCGCTCGCCCCATTTGGCAATGCGGCTAAAGCGAAGGCCATGTACGCCTTCAATCTCGTCCCCGGAGAGGTACCTTCTGCAATTCCTCCTGGCAGTACTGTCTCCCCATTTATTGTCAGGACTAATACGAGAAAACGACCAATTTCTACCGACGACCGGGCTAATGGCCACGATCACCACGGTGGTCGTCGTATCCGTCGTCGAAAAGATCGGTCGCCTCCTCCTGGTCCCGATCGGTGTTTCTTTTGTCTTAGCAACACCGACGTGGACACGCATATGGTCTGTGCTATAGGAGATGACTCTTACGTCACTACAGCCAAAGGCCCATTGCCCAGTTCCGATACATTCGCTTCGTCCGGACTCTCTTTCCCAGGCCATCAGCTTATCATACCTCTTCCTCATGAGCCCACTATCCGTTCGATGGGTGAAGATGCTCATAAGACTTACCAGGAAATGGTGCGTTTCAAAGAATCCATGCAAGCCATGGTGGCAACGCAATCCAAGTTCAAATTAGGCGCAGTCACGTTTGAAATTAGTCGACAATCTGGTATTCATGTCCATTGGCAATTCATACCCATCCCTTCGGAGCTTATTCGAAAGGGCCTCGTCGAAGCCGGATTTAAGGTGGAGGCCGAAAATCGCCAATATCCACCTTTCGAGGAGGCAGCTCTGGAGTCTGGCATTGACGAGACCTCTGACTTCTTTCGCCTTTGGATTTGGTCCGACGATAGCGACACCGGCATCCAAAGCAAAGAGTTAGTGATGCGCTTCGATAGCAATCTGCGCTTTGACCTCCAGTTCGGTCGCCGAGTTGTAGCGAAGCTCCTTGGCCTTGAAGACCGACTTTATTGGCAAGATGTCGTTCAGTCTATCGTAGAGGAGACTCAGGACGTCGAGAAGTTCAAAGAAGCCTTTAAGTCTTGGGATTTCACTCTAGCATGATCCGGTTAGCATTTTCGGAATTGGCGTTGGTGGCTCGCAAAAGTTTTATACCCTGTTCTAAATCTTAACTATACTTGCTACGGAGTCCAAGTAAACATCGCAGTTTTACAAAAGGTTATATCGTTTATTATAGTGGACCACATATATATCGATGATTTGTAGTATATGGCTTGGTGGTGGATATATCATTTGGTGCGTATGGCATATGGTCATAGTTACGCTCGTAACCAGTTACCATGACGCCTACCTACGATGCCAAGCACTATCGCGAAGAGTTTACGATTTCAAATGTTTTATAATAGATTCCCTAGGTAGGTAGGTACTTAGTTTATGATGTACTCTATCTTCAAACGAAGGGAGCGTTTAATCATAGAATTACAGGCAACTTAAATACGTCGACAATCGTTGAATCAATCCCAAAACTTACTGCCCCTAAATGTTGTGTTCCTCGCTAACTTTCCAAGTCGTCGATATCCAATTTATCCGCTTCGTCACGAAACCTCTTTCGTAGCCGCCGTTGATGCCACCACGCAAGCGCACATACAATGCCGACCACAACTACGGCCGTACTGCCAGTCACTATCCACCAGCGCCGTGCTGCCTCTATGTCTTCAGCGGTGTTATTGCTGAGCACAATGTACGCGCCTGGGTCGCTCAGTCTAGGCCAATATCTTACTGGCACCTGTCCACGGTGTCAGTCGAATACTTGGTGATTTGGGAATGTCCATTTATCTCAATTTTATGAGGACAACCATGGCCTCACCTTGCAAGCGCAGCTTCGATAGACACCTACCAGCTGCATAGTAGTACCACCCACTGCCGCGAAGATAGCAAAGAATCCCACGAATACTTGTCCCCACCAGCATATCCTCTTCGCGATAGGGTTGGTCTCCGACCACTGCGTTCCGTATTCTATCCTCAACCGTGCGGCACACGTCCATAAGGCCATCTCACATACTTGGCTAATAGCGTAGACAAGATAGGTCAGACTGCGGCAGGATAGTCCGGCTTGGGGTGTATTGTAAGACGTCAGGAATGCGAGACAGCAAGGCGCCAACACTGCAAACAAGGCTCCGAACAGAACATACAAGCAATCTTGGTAGTTCATCATGAGAGCCTTGCGCAGCTCGTCGGGGGATGTTCTATAGCCACTCCGGTATTCAGAAGAGAGTGCGTACTCGTTGATCGCCTCCTGAACCCATTCGCGCTTGTTGAGACCCCGCTTCCATAGCTTAACTGTGCGAAATCTACCTTCGAAAGCTGTTTCGATTGGATTGTAACCTTCAATCCGTTCAACAAGGAAACCGATACCTTTATACGACTTGATTTTCTTGAGGTACTGCGCCCAGAAGCTCAGCTCGTAGTCGTCTATCGGGGCCATCATGCCACCATCGTACACAATACCGTCCAGCGTACTAGGACTATTTGATGCCAACATCGCACAGGACTGTAGCATATATGATCAGTAGTGGTAAACGGAGTGTATACCAAAACAGGTACTTGGGACCAGGTATTTATTTTCCTCTACACTTGCTTATATTAAGGAAAGCAAATGCAGGAATATTTAACAATTTAGAAATGTGTACACATACGATTATAGCGAGGTAGGGAATTACCATCCACCCTAGATAATTGATAGGTCATTAGTATACAATAAGCTATTAAACGAGAACAGTTCAGAACAGCTACTCACACAAGCCAAACGCGAGGGCGTGGGCAGTATCGTTATCCCCCAAGTTATTATCAGCGTCGAGGACAGTATACACGAAACCGCCCAGGAAAAATAATACTGGTGCCCCTACCGTTGATCCGAAGCTACATTCAGAGTCAGTTCTCTCCGCAGAACTGAAATCAAGCAGACATCACCTCGCTTGTGAATTCAAAAGCGCCTTGAGTTTAGTCGGCAAGGACACAATCTTCCCCCGGTATCGACTGTCCAACTTCGACGCCTCGTATTCGTCGACCATCACCATGACCCTCTTCCAGACACTATTGTGCACCAGTTTACTCGTTTTGCGCTTTGTAAGTGGCGGAATCGCTTCCAAATCATTGGAAGTAGTACTTTGGTGACGATTATCCACCTTCAGCAGCTCATCTCTCTCGAGGGTGGCCATTCGAATATTCCCAACGACTATAGACAACAGCAACTGAGCCCTCAATCGCATGGATATGGTTGGAGATTCTCCATTAGGCGGGCCCATGAATTCTAGTATCTTGCGATCGAGCGCGTACTCGTACACAGCGCTCAGCAGCATCGGACCCGCGAAGGCAAAGCAGATCCCAAGCCAGACCACCGTGTCGAGAGTCATGAGCACAACCGCACCTAGAAGCCGGATCCAGTACGTCACGAAACCGATGAGCGTGCGCGGGTGGGCGCGAAACACAAAATCCGGGATCGCCAGTCTATGAGTGCGTGGAACATTGGTACAGAATGCCAAACTCGGCACGATAAACTGCACCAACGGGCCTATCCACTGCTGCATGGCATTTGAGTGCGATATTTCCCATCCCGTACACTGCTTCGTGCACCAGTAATACGGGATGCGGATGACCGGAGCGCCACTCAGGTCGCCGTTGAAGGTCGCGCCGCAAGGAAACTCGTCGTTTCGGATCGCGGTCTCGAGATCCTCGATTGAAACCCCGGCTGCCACGAAGGAGGTCGGCGAGTAGGATAAGTTCCCGTCAGGACGGACTACTAGCGAATCGTTCAGCGCTCGGAGACAACAGTGCGTGAAGTTCTGTCCCCCTAGGCCGATCGGCAGAGAGCTTGGTGGGTTGTACGTGAGACCCGCTAGCTGGGGCACTAGGTCTCCTATATTCATTTCAAATAGGTATTCGGATTTATGTATGGTGCTAAATTAGAGAGCTGCAATATGACTGTCTCTCAGGAGGCGGTTCGATAATCATATCATACTCGTAGGAGACTAGAGTAGAAGGAAACAAATCAAGGT